AGAGAGAGAGAGAGGTACTGAGGCGGGAGAGAGAAAGAGAGAGTGAGAGAGTGAGAAGTGAGAGAGAGGATTTTGGGTTTTTTACTTTCTTTGGGTTTGCTGTCGGGATTTTCGGCCTATCAGATTTTGGACATATGTGGTCCTGAAAAAAATTTTTACGATATCTCGGATTCCTCGGAAAATTCTGTAACCGTTACAAATTTTACAAATTTTTCAGCGTAGCCACACTCAGTAGTATCAGCTTCTTTTGTAGTGTAATTAGAACTTTTTCAATCCTCCCTGGCTTTGAACGGTCAATTATAGGCTAGAAAAACGGGTCCGAACACCCTTCAAATCGGTCCTAGTTTTTCTAGCCCGGTCCAGGGCGCCAAAATGATGGTGGAAATGGCATGTGGGCGAGAGAGGTTGACGCGACTTTTCGACGGGGATCCCATTTTGGAAATGTTCGTGCTCCCCCCCTTGGGAGTAGATGATCATTATCCTCCACGCGCCCTTTTACTGCACCACCACTTCCACCACCACTTTTTACGTAATACACGACATCGACCCTCAAAATACGCCCCCGGAAATTGCGGGCGCACGCTGGGAACAAAATATCATATTTTGAGCCTGAACATTGGCGGAAAGCGTTTTTAAAGGGCCATTGAAGTGTAATGTTGGGTGAGTGAGGAGAGAGGATCACAATAGCCAAAATCCCGACCGCCAAAATACCGACAGCCAAAATCCCGACAACCAAAAATCTAGACTGGAAAGGTCCAAGCCAAGAAAATCCCGACAACCAAAAATCTAGACTGGAAAGGTCCAAGCCAAGAAAATCCCGACAACCAAAATCTCGACAGCCGTAATCTTAAAGCCGAAACCCCGATAACCAAAATTCCGAGAACAAAAATCCCGACAGCCAATACCCCGACGTTGTAGACTCTACTTTAAAATACCGACAGCCATAATCCTTCCGATCACCGACAACCAAAATCTCGAAAGCCGAGATGACGACAAAATTTTTCGAAGAATATTTTAAAGGCATTTGGAAATAGAAATTTTATCCTTACGAAGCGCTACTGGCTTCACGCGACACGCAACGAGCATGCGTGCGAGTTCCATCATACAATTTCGCGTTGTTACTGATCAACAATTTGGGTACAGCCATCCCTCCGCAGGTGTTCGCCCCCGTCATCTCGCCCCATTTTCTGAGCTCTCCGTCCCGAAAAGCCACGCCGCCTTTTTCCGGGATTTTCGAGACGTTCAGCCCCCTTTTGAAAAAGTGTTGCAAAGCACCTGACCGTCCAGGGGAGCGGTCTGTACATACAAATTTATTAGTTATCTTTACTCACCATCTTTTGGGAGCACTATAGCCCCGTTCGGAGTCGAGTTTTGAGTTTTGCGTGAAGCTCTAAATCTTTAAAATTTTGGATTTGAAAATTTCGATACTGCTAAATACTGCAAAATCTAGACCGACTCCCTAATAATATTTGGCTTCTTGAAAACCCCTAAAATTAAATCGGCATGCGAATTCTTGGCTAAAGTTGCGAAAATCGTTATTTTTCAATTCGGCGGTACTTGTTTGTTATCGGGAGAGGTGAAATTTATCAGGCGGCCAATGGCGTTTATAGTAAAAAAATTTGACCTGATTTCAAGTGGTTAATAAAACTATCTAATACCCTTAAAATATTAACAACGCGGCATTTTGATAGAAAAATCAATTTCTTTAACTTCAAAGTTGTAACTTTTATACGTTTCGGAATGGCACCATCCTATTTCATTATTTATATTAGAATAATTCCTTTCCAAAAAAAGGGCCCGTCTACCCCCGATAATGCAAAAGAACCAATACGGTTTTATGAAAAACCGTTTTTTGTTTCGGAACTCTCGTTGTTTTGATCTTTACATTTGTTATTTTACTGCCTTATCTTTGTTCATTTTTCTAGGGCTAGCTGGCAATTTTCCAGGGGGAGCAAAGGTTGCTAGGTACCACGGATGTACCCTGGGTTAAAATGTGCCATAGTACCCCTGCCAAAATGCCAATTAATACCCCAACCAGGGTACTGATCTTTTGGTCCGAGTTGGGTTCGGGCCGGGTGCATACCATTGAAGATCGGCACCAACTGACGGCGAAAATCTGGGGATTGAAGCTGAAAGGTTGCCAGGTGAAGCTTAAAAGCATGTACAAAAGATTAGAAAATTCTTTAGGAGTTTTCGACGGTCGACAGGTGCTTTTTAAGACTACCATAGCCGATTGCTACAACCGTAATTCAAGCGGAATTTGCAGCGGTGTGGAATCGGAGTTTGGACCCAGCAGATTCCAGGAATCGCTTTGAGGAGTAGGCAAAATTTTGCGCGGCATTTGGGCTTGAATATGTTCTTTATTTTTCACTTAAATGAGTAATTTTCAGTGGCGAAAATTATCCTAAATACCCTCAGCTAGTTCGCCCTGTTTTTATGCCCATTCTGGCTTGTCAGTCCCTTTAAGATTTTCTTGAAATAGCTATAAACTTCCTCTAGCATCCTTGCTAATCTATAGTCTAAGCCGAAGCTAACAAGGAGACGTTTTTGAGTGTCGTCGGGACTTTGGCACGGGACCAAGCCTATCTTGTGCAGAATTTTACGCTGATTCCGAATATGGTAACCGTTTTTGCGGAATAGCCATTTCTCGAAAGTTATGAACGATTTTAACCTCAAAACAGCCTAAAATCGGCTACTTTCGATAGTCATAAAAGGCTTCGGAATAGGTTTTAGACAAAACCAGATAGTACATCTTGTTCAGAAAAAAATTTGCTATAAAATGTACCATCTTTTCCAAAATCATTGAAAAGTTGGAAAAATTTGATAAATTGGGAGGTCCATAATTTTACAAAAATTTTCAAAATTCCAGCATTTTTCGTTAAATAGCTTATTTGATAGAGAATTTTTTTCTGAACTAGATGCACTATTAAGTTTTGTCTAAAACCTATTCCGAAGCCTTTTATGACTATCGAAAGTAGCCGATTTTAGGCTGTTTTGAGGTTAAAATCGTTCATAACTTTCGAGAAATGGCTATTCCGCAAAAACGGTTACCATATTCGGAATCAGCGTAAAATTCTGCACAAGATAGGCTTGGTCCCGTGCCAAAGTCCCGACGACACTCAAAAACGTCTCCTTGTAAGCCTAAGTCAGGCCTAAGCCAAGCCTACGCCAAGCCCAAGCCTAAGCTTAAGCCTATGCCCAAGCTGAAGCCAGGCCACGCCTAAGCAAAAAACCTATGCCTAAGCGTAAACCTAAGCCTGAGCCTAAGCCCAAGCCTAAGCCAGCCATCAAAAGTTCCTCTCTGTAGTTTCCCCCAATTAGCAAAGAGCATTGTAGTACAACCGACTACAAAAAACGGGGACCCAACCATTCGTATACATTTGCCCTCCCCAAAATTGAATGCCGCCCGGCTACCGTACCCCGCGCCCCTAGATGGGGGTCCCCCGGCGGCGTGGTCGATCTTTGGACTTCCGGCTCCAATTTGCACTTGTTGAAAAGTGCTTGGGCGACAGGAGTACGGTAATCTGAAATGCTAGATAGGCCCAAAAGTAATCATCATTAAGTCAGGAGACGCTAAGCCCCGTGCCAAAGGTAAGCGTAAGCCAAGCCTAAGCTAAGCCTAAGCTAAGCCTAAGCTACGCCTAAGCTAAGCCTAAGCTAAGCCTAAAGCCTAAGCTAAGCCTAAGCTACGCCTAAGCTAAGTCGATGCCACACCTAAGCTAAGCCTTGCTAAACCTAAGCTAAGCTAAAGTAAACCTATGCTAAGCCTAAGCCAAACTTAAAATAAGCTCTGTCGGGACTTCAGCATTTTCCTATTGCTACCTTATCTGCAGCATTTGACGTACCGTATTCATTACCGTAGCCCAGGTCTTTCAAGTTTCGAAATTCACAAATTCACTTCACTTCCTCTCCCAGTTTCCTAAGTTCTGCGCCAGCTACCGTGCCCCCCCCCTCCGGTTGACATCATTTGAAAACAGGAAGCATAACCCAAATAGGGGGAACCCCCAACAGGAGCAAAACGTTTTGAGTGGGTGGTGGGGCCACTTTTTAGGCTTTGGAAAGGTTACTCCCGCCCCATCCCAGCCTGGGCCCCCCGGGCTTCTAATGATAGGTATGTGAGTGGGGTGGGCCCTTGGGCCCATCCATGATGCGGCTCACAGAACGCTGTTAGCAGCTTTTGGGAGGGGGTCCGGGGGAACTGTATCGCCACTTCCCGGCTCCTGGCTGATATAAAGCTTTGAGAATTTGGGCATTCTTAGGGCTGCTGGGCCCTCTTTGGGCTCCACTACCGTAACCCTCTGCCTGATTCCGCCTCAGTACTATTGGCCTCACCTATGCGCGGACTTCATATTGTGAGAAAGTTGATTTGAGGCATAGGCTTAGGCTAGGCTTAGGTTAGGCTTAGGCTTAGGCTTAGGCTTAGGCTTCGGCTTAGGATTAGGTTTAGGTTTAGGCTTAGAATCAAGCTTAGTCTTAGCCTTGTCGTACGTCCTTTTTTCTATAGCTGATTTCCCTTCAAAACCCCTGATAGCTTGCCCTTTACTGTTAATGGGCAAAACCACCATTTTTCCAGACAAAAGATACCCCAAGTTCGAACTGCACCTTAAATTGAATTTCTGTCGTTTTCACATAATTCCTCAAAATCCCCGCTTGCCTGCCCGTGCTTTAAGCTATTTTTGTTTTCCTCGTAAATGGCGCTTCCGCTTAAACACGATTAACCTATTTTTAGGCTAGATCCAGGTGTTGCCCCGTAGTTTTTTTGCCCGCACCCACCTGAGTCGTAGCTTTTGCTCTAGATTTTCGTAGTTTTTGCATATTTGCGGAATTTTACGGTACTCTCTCTCTCTCTCTCTCTCTCTCTCTCTCTCTCTTTGCTAAATTTTCATTCTTCAAAAGCCGCCCAATTTTCGGGCAAAACAATACAGTCTATAATTATGTGGAACGATCCCGTTTCTGAGACTAAAATTCCATTGGTGCGTTTCAGAATTCCGCAGATCCGCATGTCCAGGCCACGGTACTTGACCTACGTCAGCTTTTCGGCATTGGTGGGTTTTAAAGGGATGGTGACACCTTGGCCCGCATTAAAATCTCTCGGCAAGCAGGCAGAAAATCTTTGGGAAATCGTTAATATTGGCCTGGCGTTGAAAATAAATTTTACAGCTCCGAAAAAGCTCAAGCTCAACTCCTTTTTTCAGTTCCTCCTCTCCCTCCCAGTCGCAGATGCTCGAATCCGGAGGCACAGGTGAGAATCTATGATTTAATACGAGTCTGATCCAGGCTTAAGCCTGCGTTTCCGCTTTTTAAAAACAGCATATTTATTGGGGGGTTTAAAGGGGCGTGGACACCAAAAAAGCTGAATAAGCGCTAGTAAAAAAAATCCATATTCACGCCTTTCCGGCGATCATGGAAAATTTAAGTAGGTATAGTTTTCGGAAACCTATTTTGTCCAAAAAATTTTGTCGAAATTCGAAGTTGTCGAAAATTTATTATTTTTCGAAATTCCCTTTTGTCGGTATTTATTCGTTTCGGTCTAATGTCGACAAAACGAAATTTTTCGGAAAAGTGAATTTTCGACCAAATGAACCTCGACATTTGTTTTTCGACAAAATTTCGAGAGAAGAAAATTTTGAATTCCCGACATCGTCCTCTAAGAAACGGCAGATTCTGACTTTTCTGTCCGCTCAAACTCCGATTTTCTAACCCGGACTCCCGACCATTGAAAGGCACTATGACATCAAGAGTCTCTGCGAATTTCCCCAATGACCTCGGCTAGCCTGCCCCCAATCGAGCGCCGAACTTCGCACCCCTACTCACCAAATTAAACGCTCGCATTTTCCGGCGGGGTGTTATTTCGGTCCATTACGGCCTGCCATTTTCCGCGCTTCACCATCCCTTGAAATCGACACCCATAAATATCAATGAAGTTGTTTGTGGCTTCTGCGGCTTCTCCTCGGAACCCATTTCGAGCTCTTTGCCCTTCGCCCGTTTATGGCGAGGGTCACGCAAAATGGGTGCTGCTCATAATTGACGCGGCTTTTTCGATTTGATGCCCGGCGCTTCCACCCCCAAAAAATGTTGACGCCTGTGAAAATGGGCCGGACCGCGAAAAGTTGAAGTTCGCCGGGCGCGAAATAATATACAGTGCAAAAAAAACCAAAAGAACCCAAAAATCAGGTTTTGCTGATGCCGAATAAGAAAAATCGGAATTTTTCGAAATTTTTAAAGGGCTGAAAATTAAAAAAAAATTATTATTTGACTGATTGTCCGGATTTTGCTTGTTTTTGCCATAGCTATTTTATTTTATCTGATTTTTACCTTATTTTACCGTTTGACGTTCAAATCCTTCGCGTATTTTCCGACGCTCTATCGAATAGCGTACGAATATGAACCGCAAAAACGTTCGAAAAAATCAAAGCCCTGTTAGCACATTCAGAATCTTCACTATCCAATTACGCCATGCAATCGCCACTTGCACATTTCGATTTTTTTTGTGCAATACTTGGCCCATTCAAGGCAACAAAATGGCTTCGAACATTAGCGGGCGCGGCCCAGATATGCCATTAGAAAATGGGCCAATTAACCAAGCATAACTTCCCCGTGAAAATACCATACCACTCTGTATCTCTCGCTCTCTCACTCTCTCACCTTTCCGCAAGCTACTAAATACTCCATCGCCGCCAATTATCCCCCCTTCCTAGCCATTCCACAAGTCATAATTTGTGCCCTGCCCCCAATCGCTGGTATTTCCGGCTTCAAATCGTTTTTCGATATGCCACACCGCTCCAAATTTGCCATTTCGCCCCGCGCGCCCGAAAAAGACCTTATATGTATGGGCCTTGAAAAACGGGGGCAAACCCCGCGGCGTGTTCCGATTATTACGGGTTTCTGGAGGGGGATACGGTAGTTTCGCCGGGCAACTAATAGCACCGCGTTTTTTGACGGCGGAAAAGGTCGATGAGCGGGCATTTAAAAAGGTGGAACATTGGCTGGCTAAAAGTTGGAACTGTAGTCTAGGGTATTGTCGTTGAAACCTATTTTCAGAGTTAAATTAAATATAGTTCAAAGTATCTCAAAGCTACCTTACTTTAAGGTAATTTTAAGCGTAATACATCACCCGGAAGCCTAACTTTTATACCTAATATGAGACCGTTAAATTTTATACTGAAAACTAGCTCAGAAAACTGGCAAAACTCCTGAAAAGCTTTTAAATTTAAAAAAACACTAGTGAAACGCCATAAAAATATTGTTCACTACGTATCAATCACCTTTTTAATTGTATTTTTTCAAAATAGTAGACCGGCTGCGGATAGTATAGCAGACCTTAAACGGTAACCAATTTAAACCCAAAAAACACCGACAACGCGGAATTCCATTTACATATTTTGTACGAGATCTAAAGAACATAAGCATTATGTTTACACTTTCACTTTTTGAAACTCAGACCCGCGATCCTCTGACCTTTCGCAGGCCAGCCAACTAAAAACCTGTCGAGTCATCCCCGGAGGGTTATTTTGCCCCTTCCGAAAACCCAAGGATCCACGGGCTTTACACCCCGCAAAACCCGCAATTTCGGTTGATATTCACGTTTCTCAGGTGCTGAGGTTGCCCCGCGGTTGAGAGGGTAAGAAGCCTTAATTGATAGTATGTATCCCTACGTTTTATTACTATGCCCGCCCCCGGGCTGGGGCAAAATGGGGACCCCGCCGCGGCTGGCATTTCCGCCTTTCTGCTAGATGGCCTTTGTACGATGGTCGGCAGTCGAAATTGGTGACTCTATTTGGAAGGGTGATAGGATACATGGGAACAAAGTACCGCAAGAGATACAAACTTACCGGCAGCACGCATAAGGGTTCTTAGGGTTTGGAGGCAAAATTAGTAACTCTAAGAATCTTGTCGATTATTTAAATAGCGGAACATCTCGCTTTGTAAAACTATTAAACTAGCTTAAGCCGTTTTAAAAGGATAGAAAACTCGACAAAAGTCTAGATCGTCGACATTGTGATTCGGAACTAGTTAATGGCTTGTAAAAACTATAAAATCTAAACAACTGTCTTTTACCCTAATTTAGCCTTTCTATAGAACTCCTACTTCTAAACTAACTCTATCTTCTAAATCGAGGCAAAAGCTCCTAAACTAGTTAAAGCTTTATAAAAACTAAAACAAACACGCGAAAATCGTTGTCGATTCCCAAATGGCCAACTTTGCACATCCAAAACTAAGTAACTATTTGAAGGGCTGTAAAAGTACTTACAGCTTTTGTAATACCTAAATCACCGTAAAAATTGAAGGCTAGTGAAGTCCCGTAAAAATTATAAAAAACACTATTAAAGGTTTTGCAATTTTCCCTGCGCTTAGTACTAACTAAACGATGAACTATAACAAAACACAACTTCCACCCTGCAAGATAAACCCCGGTCCGAAGACCAGCCAACCCTTCAGCCATGCTCAATTCCAAGTAAAACCAATTCAGCCCCCATTCTGCCCTTATAATCGCCACCTTCCTTCCGCGCTAGGGGGTTCCCCGCCCGTCTGAAAACACACTTTTTCCATAACACCTGTGTTTTAGGCTCGGTGGCCATGCAAAAAGTGGTGATTAGGCTGGCAAATTGAGTGACGAGGCGGCTTTTAGTCTGGCTGGAACGGGGTGTGAACGTTCGAAAAGGGGAAAAAATTTCGTGCCTGACCACAGACCGGCCAGGTGCTTAGCTGTACAGCTGCAAGGAAAAACCACTTACAAAAACCCCCCAAGGGGCTGAAAAATAAAGCGACAACCCCTGGGGCTCGCGGCTATAACAATGCCTTCCAGATCACTGCACTCATCGGAAGAATGCGTTGTCAGCTCGCCGCTCTTCAGCAAGGCCTCCTCGATTTTCAGCGCGCGACGGGAGCAGGGTCGCTCACAAGCGTATCTCGAGCCGGACACTCGGGTAAAGATTTAACTAAACTAAATTTGTGCTCCCAAACCTACTAAGCTTCTTCTCCTAACGGAGCAGGATACACTCGAATTTGCAATCCGTTACCACCCCAAAACTTACGCATCGAAACCAGCTTTTCTAACCGGAATATTTTAGAGCGTCTTCCGAACCACAACCGAATCTAGTTTGCCGGACGCCCAGTGCGACGTTGACGCCAAGACCGAGCAGGTGAGCTAAAAGGCCGTTGAAAACCTTACGTTAAAATGCGGGAGCTACAAACGATAATAACCCTAAATCTCTAGGTTCTTCCCGGGCAACCACTACGAGAACGTGCCGTCTGCCCATTCCGTCATGTGCTAAATTATGACGCTAAGGTAATTTTGTTTCTTAAGATAAGCAATTGCTCATTAATCAACTTTCAGAAACTGTAGAATAGCCATCGCTGCATTACTAACCTAAATACAATTTTATAGCGATTGCCAGCCAGCATCGTTGAGGTCGAATGCATGTGCTCGATGCCACACAGTTCAAAGAACCCGAACAGGTAAGAAATGAAGCCTACCATGACCGTGAATCCATTCTAAAAAACCTCGCCGTCTACTAACCAAGTTATTTCAGGTTCGCCGATATCCGATGTGAACCATCGTACTACACGATGCGAGTACTGCGCTTCGACTCCGGGTGCAGCAATTTCGTCGAGGACACCCAGCGAGTCTCCATGGGATGTACGGCAGTCTTTGCGGTAAGTTTCACATACAAAAAGCTACCAAAAATTCTGTAAGGACTTCCAGTTAATCCTTCCTTTTCAGAGCCGAACCAACGACGAACTGGCAGCAACGACTGGCGAGATAGCGCAGGCCGAAGTGCCCGTCTAAAGGCTCCAGCCCGGCGGCCTCTAAACCACATTGGGCATAATATTAATTACGCGTTAGCTAGTTTCCCCCCGCCTACCGGTGTACTCTTACCTGTACCAACCACATCCTTCCGCTTCATCCTAGGAACAAAAATAATGGGTGCCATATAATATGAATTCGCGTTTCTCCACCGAGTCGAGTCTTTCACGAATCCCGCGTTTCTCCAGCCGGATCTCGTCTTGTTGGCCTGCCACGGGTGCTCGCTTTTATCCCCCAAACTTCTTTCCTTCTTGATCTCGTCCCTAGTCCAGCATTGATAGTCGCTTGCCATGTATTACATTACTCCCATGTATGTGCCCAGAGCGGCTGTTAATGAATAGATTTATTTTACAATTGGCGCAGAAGTAATTCGTGGTCTCGAAAATTATAAAAAGGGTTAAAGAGGATGAAACACGGAAGAACGGGATGACGAATGGGGGACCAAATTTGAGATGATGTGGGCGACCGCATGTACGAGGAGACTATAACCAAGAACGATTGGAGAAAATGGAATATGCGAGAACACAAATACCACATCATCCAATAATCACACCGGCAAGAGTTTATAAGAAATAATCGGGCGTACGACGAGTGACGTGTGGCTCGCCGCGTCTCGGTGCCGGGTCGAATTGCAGGAAAGAGTACTTCAGTTCGTCGTCGAGCTCGACCATTGCCGCCTGGTTGCCGCAGCGGTAGCAGTAATTTGGCGCCGAGAAGACGGTGACGACGTTGCGATCATGGCACCAGTTGTAGCCCTGAAAATAAAAAATAAAGCCAATCAACCGGGCGCGAATTAAGCCTAGTGAGTCAGGATGTGTCAAAAAGCCGTATAGACGAATTGGACAGACCCAATCTCAATACAACCCTGCAACAGGCTCAAGAAACATACCTCCATGACAAGCTGGTGAGCCCTGGAAATAAGGGTTAGCCCATTCGAGTGGTTGAACGTCTCCGAAATGTCTTGGCCAAAAGTGTAGCCGGCACCACGCGGGGAAATACCCCAGCCGCCTCGGTCATCGGGGTCGGACCAGAGGAGGTCGCACATCGGGCCTTCGTGGGGGACCTAAAACCAAATTATACGAACGAGCGCCCAGAAACAGACCTCTTGGATACGGTCGAGCGCCCGGATATGGTCCAGGGTGTCTATCGAGGGAGACAGACCACCGTGGAGGCAGAAGATTTGCCCGTCGACGAGGGCGGTGAGGGGGAAGTAGTCGAAGAGGTCCGTGAAGTACTTCCAGACGTTGGAATTGCCGTACTTCCGCAGGCACTCGTCGTAGAAACCATAGACCTGAAAGGGCGCGTTATGAAGAATGAACAAGGAGAATTCCCAACCGGAACCTCCAGGGAATCGTAATTACAAGAATATCCAGAAGCGAGACAGTACCTGGGTAATTTGCCTAGACTCGTGGTTGCCTCGGAGGATCGTCACGCGACTCGGGTATCGCACCTAGAAAACACAAATTATAACTTTGAAATTCAAGAAAACTACCTTCAGGGAAACAAGTAGAGAAACAGTCTCGACCGAGTAGTACCCGCGATCAACATAGTCGCCCATAAACAAGTAGTTGGTGTCAGGGCTTTTGCCACCCATCTAAAAATGAAAATAAACAAACTTTGGACCGTTATACCTTAAATAGCTCCATGAGATCGTGGAATTGACCGTGGACGTCGCCGCAAACGGTTACCGGGCATTTGACTTCTTGTACATTAGATTCCTTTTCAAGAATTTCTTTTGCCTAAAAACGATGATAAATGCCGAACGTAAGTTGTCACCTTCTCGCAAAGTTGTTTGACGTTGAGTTCGGTAAGCTGCTTGCATTCGTACAGCTGCTCGACCCATCCATCCAAATCCTTTATGAAGCCCTTGTCTTGCGCTGTATCCCCGGCGGACATTCTGGAATGGAACGATGTGAGAAGCTCGACGGCCGTGTTTTAGATAAGCAGAAATGAAACGGAACGTAAAAACAACAGGAAGGGAGACAAAGAAGATGTGTGGAGTGTTCGAAAAGTAAAACTACAAGAAATTTTTTACATGATGAGTCATAAAACAATTGCTCTAAAAATAAACTGAGAATCTTCAGAAATCCGTGGAAAAATGAAATGAGGAAATTCGAAATCATTCCCAAAGCAGTTCCGAGGCATTGCAAATGACGGACGTCCTGTTACGGTCGATGGTCCATATTTCTATTTTTGAACGGAAATTTCGTCATTTGGTGTGCAACGGATTTATCAGCGTTTTTCATTGTTTTTATAGCGCCAAGTATATCCTCGCTAACGTTAAAATGTCGTAAATTTGCCCAGAGAACAAATTTTTGAACCGTGATAGGGACCCATTGATTCAAGCAGAGGACCCGTCTCTCGCCCAGCCCGGGCTCCGACCGCGACGCGTGAGGCCGCGGCCGCGTGCGCCCACTCCCCGGCCAGGTTGCAATGCTTTGGCGCGAACGGGATGAGGGCCCGGGGTTCGGTGATTTTGGTCGGAAACTTATGGAATTCTCCTAAATTTGGCCAGAACGTTTTGCTTGAACTAAAAACTGCTAAAGGTTTCTCGAACCGCCGCGCTTGTATGAAAAAATCAACCCAACCCACAAAGCCGACGGAAATTCTTACAAGAAGTTGTTAGACTTTTGCAAACAGCGACCTCAGACAACCGCCGAAAACTGGCTTCGCGCAAAAATATTATCCCCTTACGCGTGGGCTCCCGAGTTCACGTGCCCTTCCCCCACGGCAGCGAGCCCAAATTGATAAGTGCATGTGGACGCGGTGAAACCGCGCTGCTCTGTAGACAGTTTTTTTTATTCAATTCAAGCGATTTTGTTGACCCTGATATGTTGTACAGCAGAAACGACAATGAACCCATGCGAAACAGGAGGCAAATTCGAAAAAAAAGCGGTAAGGCACGTAGAAAAATCAAGACAGAAAAAAGGGTATTATGAATGTTTGGCGATATATTCTTCGAGTAGGTGCTTCGAGTCGAAGTAGATGGCCAGTCGATCGCGGCCGTAGCTAGCTGGAACCCGGTATTTATAGGACGCTATCATGTGATTCAGCTTGCAGGCGTGCAAGAAATGACGAAATCAGGGCGCTGCGATTTTCGGAAATTCCCTAAGCATTGATTGTTCTGGCTTATACTACGCTTTTACCTGGGTAATGCGCTCTATTTACATTAAAGCTTAGCTGAAAAATTACAAACCGTAGTCAAATTGGCAAATAGCATTTTCTGCATTCACCAGTGCCCATGCCGACCAAAAAAGATGAGAGAGCGTCATGAACAGGGTCGATTCCTATAACGGAAACGTCTAGAATTAAACCGGTGCGTACCTCAATTACTTTTTCAACGTCCTTTTCTCGATTTCCTGTCACGAGGTCACTCGGGAAATGTGTATCGTCTGAGGCTTCTTTCAACTAAAATACATCATGGGATTTTTCGAGTTTCCTGACCCTGTAAATCTCATCCACGTACGATTGGGCAAATGCTCGTCGCCCTTCGACGTCTTGGAAACGTTCAGAGTGTATCTGTAAGAAGTATTTTCAAGGGAATGGGTGAATACCGCGTAGTAGGGCGCTTCTTCGGATGAGTAATCGAAGGCATATTCGCAGAGGTGATTGCCCAGATCGAATCCCCTGAAAACTACCCATTCAGCGTTACGATTTTTGTTTCGAGGCGGCTATTCTCATGGGGGATGCTCCGTCATCACTTATAGCCGGGCGGATTAGGGGTGGCCGGGACCAAATTCTTGATTATCTGGAATTTCCTCTAATCCCCCACCCCATAAAAGGCAGATTTCCGGGGCAGATTGTTTAGCTGTATCGGAGCAACGGAAATGAGAGTGGATGGGGTGAGTTTGGGTAGAATTTTTCCGGCCCCAGATTACATGAAAAAATACCCCTTTTCGATGACATCAATCAAATCACGACCTGTAATTATACGATGCGTACTCGTAGTCGATCAGCACCATTGCATCCTTAGGGTTTGCCGTTTTTCCATCCTTATCTTTGTACCCCTCTTCGGTTACGGAGTATCCATTGACGAGCAGGAAATTCCCTTCCTAAAAACTAGCCTATTGAAAACCTTGTAAACGTTTCCGCACCTGCAAGTCGTTATGGCTGAACACGATCGGGCTGCCGGCAACGTCCAAAAACTTTTGGTAGAATTGCACTTCTTCGAGGAGCTGATCGGCCGTTACGTGATCGGGAACCTAAGACAAGAAAAAGATAAATTAAACAAATCAAAAAGCTACTCTATTCCGGTCGACCTTCGCCAACTTGGTGGTCAACTCAATTTTACGGTCGTCGATCAACGACTTGAGCTCGTGCAGCCAGCCTTCGGTTCGGCTGAGGGCCTAAGAATGGATTAATAAAATAGAAATGCAAGATACCTGGGGCTCCTTCGTTATCGGCACGTCGAGCGTGTGGATATGGGCAACCATCGGCGCAAGTAACCGGGCGAACCTGGTAAGTATTATTAGGTTATTTCGAGGATACCTACTTTGGCTGCGATATTTCTTGGCAAGTGAGGGCGCGGGAGTCGATAAACGTTTCAAATCTAAAGCCTACTTTGCAAAAATTAAAAATGAAAACTACCGGCCGCCGGGGAAGATTCCTAGAAGCTGTGGACCAAGCCCTCGCTCGGATAGCAGCGTGAAAACGACGGACTCGGTCAGTTGTTCGTCAAGGCCGCCCTAAAAAATAAATAGCAACTTCTTTTGGAAACCTTACCTGGCATTGTATCCGCATCAGAATTTTTATATCCTGTTGATCGCCCTTCTCGTCGGGGTGCTGCAGTTCGACGAAGTAGAGCAGGTTCGACATACCGCCCCTAAAGTTAATAAAGTAAAAAAAATCATAAATTTAGATCACTTACGTCACGGTCTTCACCGTATAAGCCTTTGCGGGTGCTCGTGCCCAAATTCCGCCCATAAACTTGGAGCACAAGAATCGTGTTGTCGCCATTGCTTCTTGCCCGTCCGAGTCATCCGTGTTGAACTTGCCAAATATTTCCTAAAATGAAGTTTTCAAAACATGTCAAAGAAGGCATACCTTTAATTGAGCCGAAGACGGCATTCGTTGTATTTCCCCGTTCATCGCGACGCCTAAAAACGGCAGATCTTTGACAAAATGAGGGCAAGAAATCCGAGGTTAACGCCGAAATCCGTGATATCAAGGGGTGGATCGAGTGGCGGGCAAATATTTGAGCGAGATCCGGCATGTAGGATGAACCGGTGATGCGTTTCGAGGCGGCCACCATAAAAACGAGCGCTTTTTAGTGGTGGAGTTAGTGGGAATCGACCGGCCCGGTCATGCGGAACAGGTTGTCGAAAAAAATTGTCAAAAACTTTTCACGGGGATGCCGGTCAGGGTATTAAGGGGGGCGATTTTATCGATGTTTCCGGTCGTAGCGGGCTCGATTTAGGCAGAAAAAAAGCGGGAAACGCGTGTATTTGGTTCAATTTTAGCAAAAAAAAGAATGCTAGCTTGTTTTGGAAGGTTTGGAAGTAGAAAAAAGTCGGTTTAGTAAATGTCACACGGCGCGGTTGTTGTAATGGGTAAAACTACAAATATTTCGGCCCTAAAGTAACTAATTTTAGCGTTAAAATATGGTCAGTTACCTTAGATACCTAATTACGATGTGTTGCCACAAAAAACCTCTCGCCAGGTTGTAGCTGTGGCTGACTGGTATCCATCCGCGCCTCCCGAGCGGGGGGCCCGGGTTCGACCCCCGGCCGCGGCAAAAAACTTTGCTTTTTCCAAAAAAAAAACGTCCCTGAACGTGCCCTTTAATAGATGTTATTAGAAAAGGTTTAGGTAGTCTTTAGCTAGAGTTCTGGATTTTCAACAAAAACGGAAACAACTTTTTAAACTGTGCTTATATCCTCAAAATAATTGGCGATTCATAGATTCGTACGAAAGATTTGATCGTGCCTAAAAGCTTCAAAAAAAATCAGCGGATCTCCTAGAATCAATAGCTTTCACCGGCCGGTTCGTGTGGATGCCGGAAAGGGCAGATTAATTGAGCTGTCACGGCGCCGTGTGGCATTGTTTTGGTAAACAAAAGGCGCCCGGTGCCACCCGGCCATGGCGTCGTAATTTTAATTTTCCGCTTACGCAATTCAGAACGGATCCCCGGAACCGAAATATGCGAGGGGCTTTCGAATAGATTTTATTAATGCTTTATGACGCTGAAACTACGAATAATAAATTATAATTTTCAAAATAAACAATTTTCCACGCTTGTGTGTTCATAAATTTCCAAGCGTGAAATTCACGAAAAATATGCGTTTTCCGGAGGCTTTAGCAAGGCATGGAAGTGGGGGCGCTCATGCACTTGAGCCTATCCCAAAAAAATTTTCGAAAGCGGAACGCCAACGTCAATTTTGGGGGGTTTTAGGGTTTGGGATGTTTGGATACGATTAAAAAGTGTCTTTTTAAATCTATGCCCTTTAGAAAAGCCTAAATTTATCTTTACTATCACAAATGAATGGCAAAATACGTTCCAGATCACGCACCGAAGCTGACCCGCAAGCAAAAGCCGATTTTATAAATTAAAGGGGGGGGGGGGGGGGGGGGGGGGGGAAGGGGGGGGGGGGGGGGGGGGGGGGGAGGGGGATCAATATTTTAAGAAAGTAATCAATCTTTATTATGAAATCAAGCGTCTATACCGCGAAAATACCAGGTTTTGGATTGAGGGTCTTAAAATTCATAGCACCATGCAATTTTTAGGGATATAAAGGTTTTTTAATGTCAGTAAAAATATTTTCTCTCATAAAATAGCTTTGAATAATTTTTATTTTAAAATCTATTCTATATAGATCAAAAATACTCGCTTTTTAGCTCGACAACCTAAGAAAAGGCGCACAAGGGCAAGAAAAGTTCTCAATCACGCACGTAATCCCGGCACGCCGAAATGGAAAAGGTAGATTTTTCGGTGTTTTCGCTCGAAAGCCTCAAAAACGCATTAAAGAGCAAGAAAAGGTCTGAATCACGGTCGGAAGCGCCTGGCTTGACCGCCACCTTATCAGGTAAAGGTCAAAAGGGTAGGGCAAACAGGCCAAAAACGTATCTATCTGTCTATTCGCGTGTATGGGTGGGGGTGTGTTGTGTGTGTATGTGTGAGCGATATGAGCCGATAGGCCTCTTATTCTCCGGTGGTTGCCCGCTGTCTCTCTCGCTCTTTATTCTGTCTTTCCGGGCCGGCCATTCCACCCGGTCCATTTCGGCCCATTCCGGCTGAAAAGGCGGCTGTTCTGTCCTCGTCCCGGGGCTTTCACACTACCCCCTTGCCGTGATCGCCTGAGACATTAAAAATGACTTATGCCGGGTGGCTGCCGGATTCGAGTTGCGTGTAATAAAGCGGAAGTTAGGCCAAAGCCCAGAGTGTTCGAAATTTCGGTAATTAGAAAATTTCGTACGGTTTCACTGTTCGATTAGCTTAAGTTTAGTCCATACAAATAAAATTAAGGTTACTTTAGCATTATCGGTGGTGGGCGGGAGAGGAGAACTGCTATCAGCAGGAAACCAACTTTTTCTTCTTTAGTACCCAATTTTATGAAATCAATAGAGAAAGTGTTTCAAACTTTTTTGTTGTTGTTATAAACTGAAAAAAATTTTATAAAGTTAATTTTAATTTTTTTTAGTTTAACGTTGTCCTTGATGTTCTCTCTCCCTTTGTCTCTGTCTCTCTGTCCCTTACTCTCTCCCCCTCTCTCTCTCCCATCCTCTCGACCTCGCTCCCTTTCTCTTTATCTCCCTCTCTCGTTCTCGCTCTCTCTCTCCCTCTCTCTCTCTCTCTCTCTCTCTCTCTCTCTCCCTCCCTCTCTCTCTCTCCCTCCCTCTCTCTCTCGCTCTCTCTCTCCGTTACTATTTTTTATAGCGTAGTCAGGGACATAAACGTACAATCATCGGAGGACAACCACAAAAGTCGCGCCAAACGCAGCCATAATCCGGCAGACACCCATAATCCCCCTCTGTCCCTCCGGCTCCTCCTCAAACGTGTTCTGTTCGTTCGTAGAAGCCACGCGGAAATATTCGTATATACCCCCCGAAAATAGCATCGACACTTTATTCGAAAAACATACAGGCATGTGGATAGAAAAAATATCACGAAATACCCGTTGCTGGGAGACTACCGTAGTATCGGAAATTGGCTGACATCGCCGGAAGCTGATGAGCATGGGTGGGGAATTTGGAGTCACAAAAGTGAGGGGGACGGAAAAACTGAAATATCAGAGAAAGAAGATATTTTTGGGGACCCGTGGTGTTGACGACGCATTAAGGATAAGTGGAAAATTCGGGGTAAGAATATGGAATTTTAAAGTGTATGGAATTAGATTTGGAGGTGAGTAAAGCGTGCGAAGGAGAAATATCATAGAAAAAAAACTATTTTTTAGTTTGAGTTGAAAAGAAAAAAACCGTGTAAGCGATTACGGTATTTAAATTGGTTGGGTCTAGAGGGTGATCGATTACGGAATGTAATTAAAAAAGTAGATTTTGGAAAAATCAGTGACAAGCGAGGCTAAGGCTTCACTTGGGCTTAGGTTTAGGCTTCGGCTTCAGCTTGGGCTTGGGCTTAGGCCTAGACTTCGCCATAGGCTGAGGATTCGGCCGGGCTTAGGCTTTGTTTAAGCTTAGGCTTGCGTTTGGCTTATACCGCGGCTGATGCTTAGGCTTAGGCTTAGAATTGGCTTAGCTTAGGCTTAGGCTTGGGTTGACTTGAGCTTGGGCGTAGGCTTGGCTTCGGCTTAGGCTTACTTTAAGCTGAGGCTTAGGCTTAGGCTTACTACAGTAACGGTGGGGCACAAAATAGCGCGCATCATGAGATAATTATGAATCTACATCTCTACGACTCCGCGCGGCTATAAATTCCGGTGCTTCTTGGGGAGTTTCGGCAAGAAATGGGGCCACGGGTCGGCGGGCAGCCAGACCGGCTCGGGGTCGGGGGCCTTGGCGCAGTTGTAGCGGTGCACTTGGATGTTGTAGTACGGTTCGCTGAAATGGACGGAAATTGATACTTTGTACGTAACTTGGCGCATTAATGACAATACGAGTCATAGGTTACTACTATACAAAGACCAAAAGTTCAAAAACGAGATTTACATCCCGTTTTATCCGACCTTGCCGAACTCGTCGCCACTCACCCCTTCTCCTCCTTGAGCATCTGGATGTCGGTGATGACGTCAAACGACGTGACGTCGCCACCCTTGTCCTGCTTCTCCTCGCCCTCGAAGAACTCGCCCCGCCGGACGGTCACCTTCTTGTACAGCAGCTCGCTGTACTCGGCCAAGTACTCGTAGTCGCAGCATTGGGTGTAGAGCACACTAAAAAAAGGTGGTTACAAGGGTAATAATAATTTTTTCACTCTTTCTCGCTCTGTGGCTCTCGCGCTCTATCTCTCTCTCTCTCCCTCTCCCTCCCCCTCTCTCCGTCTCTCGCTTTCTGTCTTTCTCTCTCGCTTTCTCTCTTTCTCTCTCGCATAGAGAGCGACCTGAGATAGAATTTCGAGGCACGCAAGTTAGAAGAAAGAGAGAGCGAGACAGAGAGAGAAGGAGAGAGAAAGAAAAAAGAAAAACAGAGAGAGAGAGAGAGAGAGAGAGAGCATGCGTCAAGCAGCATATTCTACTATTTGCATCTCGTTGCTGCTTCTTCCCAAGCCGATTCCCCCAATTCCTCACCTGCTCCCAGCCACCCGCTGCACGCCACCCACCCAGGACGAGTTCGACGGGCAGCCGTGGGTACGGAGTGGACGCTCATCACATTCCTGGAAAAGTTATGTGATAACAATGTAGTTTTCTCTCTCCTGCTCTCTCTCTCTACCCTCTCTCTATCTCTCCCTGTCAAAATTCCTCCAAAAGCCCACCGCATATTTCTTCTCAAAACATTCGGGTTTGGAGCAGAGTAATACGAGCCGCCCATCTTTATGCACCTAGGATACCGTAATCCTGGATCAGGCATGAAAATTACCTCAATACCATAAGGGATTTTGTTATTTCCACAATATTCTGCAGAAATATGGGCCACGAGGCTTATTGCTGCCAGCAGCCATCGTATCAACATCTGGAATGGGGGTTTTTACGAAATGAAAAATTGGACGAGAGAGCGAGAGAGAGTGCGAGAGAGAACGAGAGAGAGAGAGAGAGAGAGAGAGAGAGAGAGAGAGAGAGAGAGAGAAAGAGAAGGAAAGATATTTGGCATGAAAAATAGCCAAAATAGATTGATGCCGCAAGATGGCATACTAGCATGGATCATTTGAAGCCCGGAAGAAGATGATTTGAAGGTTTGAGTAAGAGATGGAGCGAGAGAGTGCGAGAGAGAGAGAGAGAGAGAACAATAGAGAGACAGGCAAACAGAGAGAGCGAGAGAGAGAGGGATATGGTGAAAATCCAGTAAATCAAAGTTATTTCTGTACAGAATAAGCCACATATTTTTCCGTTAAAAAACAGCCAATTGTCAATACCATTCCTACAATCTCCAGCTCAAACTCCTGCTCCTGCTCCCCGATGCTTCTCGTTTTGACTGGTTCCACTTCCCCTTCCTCCCCCCCCCCGCCCTCCCTTACTTGCAGCTACAGGTCTGTCTGTCTGTCTCTTTTCGTGTTGTGTGAGGCTTGTCGAAATGCTCGCCCTACTTGTTCCAGCAAAGCTCTCCCAGCCTCGACTCGAAACCACCCATCCGCCTAACCACCGATTATACCCTACTCCCCCACCACCACTAGAACGCTGGAGCGCGCGCTTGGAAAAGCTGACCCAGAAAACGTGGTGAATGGCTTTTTCGGGGTGGGAGTCCCGCGCGTCGAGCAAAATTGGGAACTGGAAAAAGATGTGATAAAAAAGGAGAAGTTGGTCTTGAGAGAAATGCAAAAAATCAAAAAGAAATGGGTCTAAAAACGCTGAAAATATTACTAGTGCCCTGCTAGCCTGCCCTCTCCCAATTCCTCAACGAAACTCTGGTAGCGTGCCCTCTCTCAATTCCTCCAAGAATCCCTGTTAGCTTACTCTCTCCTAATTCCTCAAAGAATCCCTGCTAGCCTACCCAATTCCTGAAGGAATCTCTGCTAGTTTGCCCTCGAAGAATGGAAGGAGGCAGGCTAGCAGAGATCCTTTGAGGAGCCCAAGAGGGCAAACTAGCATAGCATTTCGGAAATCCGTGCAAGGAAGCAGGCTAGCAGGGAGCAAACTAGCAGAGATTCTTGATGATTCCTTAGGAGATACGCAAAATAACGGAGCCCAAAGGCAAACTAGGCGTAACTGGTAACGCTTCTTAGCGAACGACCCAGAACTTAATAACAGCTCCTAGCTGACCGTCGAGTCCTAAAAAAGGCGTAGACGTGAACGGACTACGCAGCACTCCTAACTACACGACCGACGGACAGTCTCAAACAAAGCGATCGGCTAGTCTCCCTCCACACGTCCAAACACAAACAATGGGATGGCCTTGATGGGGAACAGAGAGAGGGGAACTGGATCGATTTATAGCGATCGGCAACAGAGGGGCAAGTCGAGACTGGCCAAACATCTCGCCGTGTTTCAAGCTCGTGCTCGAAACTTAATTAACCGATCGATGGATTCATCGATTAAATTAAAGGGATTAGGAAGCGAAATTTGGAATTCAAGCCAGATTCCCGACAGGCGAAGATCCCGACAAGCTAAAACCCCGACATCGAAAAAGCCGATACCAAAATCCCGACAGCCAAAATATCGAAAGCCAAAATGCCGACAGACCTAAGGCCGACAGCTAAAATCTCGACAATAAAATTATGAGCCAAAAACCAGACAAAAACTTTTAATATTCTGCCTGTCGGGATTTTTTACCTTCGAGATTTTCCCTGTCCGGCCTTTGGATGTCGGCATTTGGCTGTCGATATTTTTCTGTCGGGATTTTCGATGGCGGGATTCTGAGCTGTTCTGATTCTGAATTCTGATTCTGATGTCGGGATTTTGAATGTCGGTATTTTAGCATCCCCCACCTAACAAAATTCGTGCCTTTGTGAGAAGGCACGGAAACGCAGAATTTTCGAGGTAACAAAAATACGATTTTTGGGATAAAATCAGGATTTTGAGCGGGCGGGATCCTCTAAGGCTAAAAATTCCTTATTCACGGTCATTCTTGGGCTGATTCTAACAATAAAACCAGCTCAAACGCCAGACTTTACAGTTCCTTTAATGAAAGTGCATTTTTTAAGAAGTTACAGTAGCGGCAAAGAAGCTTTTAAGCAAGTTTTAACCGGGAAAATTCGCAAGTCTGCGGATGGGTCAAAAATTGATCGGGGCGATGGGAGGGGGTTGATAGGGAGGAGGGGCCGAATAGGTTGGAGAGTGAGCGGGGCGAACAGCTGTCAATCGCACCTCAATTAATTGAAGTGCCCCATCCGGAGGGCATTAATAGTAAGGACAAGGGGCACGGCGTCCGGTCACTACCCCGAAAAGTCACTACCCCGAAAAATGATAGTATTGTTTTTCCCGGAAAAATCCAGTTTTCATGCGGTTTTCCTATGAAAATCATGCAAATATTCGGGGTAGTGACATTTCGGGGTAGTGACATTTCGGGGTAGTGACTTTTCGGGGTAGTGACTTTTCGGGGTAGTGACTTTTCGGGGCAGTGACTTTTCGGGGTAATGACTTTTCGGGGTAGTGAGTTTTCGGGGTAGTGACTTTACCCCAGGGGCACTATTACCTCGAAAAAGATAAAAAAAGCTAGCAGATTGTCTTTGAGGAATTGGAAGAAGACAGGCTAGCAGTGATCATTCAGAAAAAGCGGGAAGGCTTGTTAACAGGAATCCCTTGAAAAGCAAAACCCATTATCCTAGCAGAGACAACACAGGAATTAGCATGAACTCTCAAACAGTCCATCCGCCAGCTGTCACCACCGGGCGATGGACCGAAGGAGGGGCTGGTGGCGCGCATTATAAAAAGTATGCCAATGGGTGGAGGAGGGGGTGAGGCGGGAATCTCGGCTTGAGAGAGAGAGGGGGAGAGAGAGAGAGAGAGAGAGCGACGGACCGAAAAACAGGAGAACGACCTTGCCATCCCCTGACATGGAGCGACCGGGATCGATGTCCGGTTCTGCTTCCCCATTTACACAGGTTGACGAATGGGTACGGAACTGGATGACGATCGGGGAAGGCTAGCAAGGATTCTTTGGGAAGGGGCAAGCTAGCGGAGAGCCTTGGGGAAGGGTAGACTGGCATGAATTTCTTAGGAAAAGGCAGGCTAACAGAGATTCTTTAGGAATAGGTAGACGTGCAGAGATTCTTTAAGAAGGGGTAGGCTAGCAGAGCTGCTTTGGGAAAAGCAGACTGGCATAAATTGCTTAGGCAAGGGTAAGCTAGCAGAGATTCTTGCGTCACTGGAAAATTTGAAGGCACTTCCGTAGAGGTTTTAGGTCGAGAGCTCCAGAAATAAAGCAGCATCGCCTAGCTGTCCATTTTGGGGTCCCCCATGCGGTGGTGGACCTTCGGGATCGGGTTACCCCAATTTCAATACAGGGGAATTCCCATGAAGGGGTGGAATGTACTAACTAAAGTAAACGACTAAAGTAATAGGTTCGTTTGACGTGTGTGTGGGAGAGAGAGAGAGAGAGAGAGAGAGAGAGAGAGAGAGAGAGAGAGATGTTTTAGCACCCGACTAGGCACAAAAATCAAATATTCAATACAAATCCCGATTCGGGTTTTTGGGCGCTCGCCACAGGAGCTTACTGAAAAATTCAAAAGAAGCTGGGCCCTAGCGGGGGGATTGTCTTCCCGAGGGCCCTTGTCGACGGGGGGGACCCATCGGAAGAAGCAGGGGGAGAAGCCGGTTCCCCATTCCATTTCACGCGACGGGATAGGTTGTTGGGATGGGAAGGCTTTTAAAGGGCCGGTGACAGAATTCCTCAAACAAACTCTGGTGTAATAACCTTTACTGCATTCTCGGGGTGTTTTTCAGCCAGTAGTACTGTAGAGAAAACCGAAAGTGGGCAAGCTAGCTGAGATCATTTTGGGGGTTGATTTTAAAGAGATGGTGACATTTCTGGTCATCAGAATTGGTCCAACGGCGTTACAGAACCAATTTAAACCTTGGTCAAGTGTAACAAAGAATTTAGCAAGCTAGCAGAGAATCTTCAGGACATGGCAGGCTAGCAGAGATTATTTAGGAGAGGGCAGGCTAGCAGAGATTATTTAGGAGGGGGCAGGCTAGCAGAGATCCTTGTGGAAAGGGCAGTAGCAGAGGTCTTTAGGAGAGAGCAGGCTAGCAGATATTCTCTAGGAGAGGGCAGGCTTGCAGAGATTCTTTAGGAGAGGGCAGGCTGGCAGAGATTCTTTAGGAGAGGGCAGGCTAGCAGAGGTTTTTTAGGAGAGGGCAGGCTAGCTGAGATTCCCTAGGACCGGGCAAGCTAGGATAGAGTTGCGCCTATATAATATTCGCGATAAACCAGGTGTCACTCTCCCTATAAAAATCACTTAAGGCTGGAATATCGATAAAAATAGGGGTATCTAGTAGTAGTGGTGGGTGATGATGGTTGTGGGTCGGGGGTGTGTGACAACGATTGGTTTTGAGGGGCGACGAAGGAAAATGTTTGCTGAGTGCAGGCATAGCAGAAAGCGATCCGCAAATAGACCACCAGGGGGGAGATGCCCGGGAATACGAAATTTGGCTTTATTGTTTTTGGCATCGAGGACTTGAGCAGGTTTTAGTGCCGAATTTTGGGTAGGAGAAGCCGAGCCATGGCTACCAAAAAAAAACCGACTTAGGCCTAGGCTTAGACGTAGACTTAGGCTTGGGATTGGCTTAGTCTTAGGCTTAGGCTTAGCTTAGGCTTAGATTAGGCTTCGGCTTGGCTTAAGCCTTCTATTTCCGCCGCCCCCAGTTCTATTTCTCAAAACTCATTTTCTGATTTTTCGAACTCGCGCTTGGCCTGCCTTTTAAATGTATTCACCGTGGCTCCATGGCTACCGTACCCCCCCCCCCTCGAAAGACAAAAGATCCACGTTTTTCGGCCGGAATTCGGGAGTGCGTTCCTTTCAAGGTACCCTCAGTTATCCTGGCAAGACCATTTTCTCGCAATTCATCAAATAACCAGCAACGATGGCCGCGCCCGAACTTCGAAAGCGGCACGCCAGTCTGACGGTAAATTTTGAAGAAATTAGGGAAGGGTTGCAGAGGTTCTGTGGGAATTGGGGCCAGGCGAGCTAGCAAAGTTTTTTGCGGAAATTGTCTAACGCAAGGGGAATTGCGACCATAAGTCCGGCATGAAACGTCACAAAGACTTTCAAAGATTGACAGCCGAAGCGTTCCTTTCGGTATTTTGGCCTGTCGGGAATTTGATCTGTCGGCATTCTGAACTTAAATTTGAACGGATTATGGATACCAATGTTTGTATTTTGCCTGTCAAGAGCTTGTGGCTGTCGGTATTTTGAGCGTCGGTCCTTGAGGCTGTCGGGATTTTGCAGCTCTAGGCGTTTCTATGTCGGCATCATGAATGTCGGTGTTTGGCTGGGATTTTGGAATCATTTTATCATATCGTTATCTTGAATGTCGGCATTTCGAATGTCGATATTTTCACATTTCCACTTTTCCAGGATGACAGCTCGGATGATTCGCTCGATGAGCGCGAGATGGACCAGATGGTCGACGAGATGCACAAGGAGGGCGAGGACAATGAGAACCAGTCGCGCTGGAGGTACGGTAGCTGGGGGGGAGACTAGCAGAGAGTCTTTGAGCTGGCTCTTAGAGGGTTCAGAGGGCGATGACGAGCTGGAGCATTAGCTTTTCCAGCCCCATTCAATGTATCGGCAAGCTGATCTAGCTCCTCTCACGTCATTTAAATGTTCGATTTAAATCATCCCCCCAAATTTCAGCAAAGTGAAGGCTTGCTGCAAAGAGTGGGGCCAAACGTCGTCCTGCCACGGCGTGCCCCACATGGCACAGGCGCATACGGTAGCTGCAGCGTCGCATAGAATACCATCCATTTCAGCTGTTCGCTGCGATTGTGTGGGGTGTCATCCTGTTTTCGCGGCCTGCGGGTTCGTCTACCTGTTCTCGTCGACCCTCATCCAATATTTGTCGTTCGGCAAGATTGTCATGCTCAATGTGAGTTTTAGGCGTAGGTTTATGCTTAGGCTTCGTTAGGCTTAAGTGTACGTTTGGGCTTGGCTTTGGAATTAGAGCTAGGCTTCGTTAAGCCTATGCTTTGGTTTGTGCGACTTTGCTTAAGGCTAGGTCAGGCGTAGGCTTAGGGTTAGCTTAGAATTTAAGTTAGGCTTAGGCTTAGGCTTTGGCTCAAGATTTTGGATTAGGTTTAGACTTGGTCAGGCTTCGGCTTGATTTAGGCTTGGGCTTGAGCATAGCTTAGCTTAAGCTTGGGTCGGAAATTTCCCAAAAATCCCATGCTAGCCTGCCCCGGCCATTCCTCATTGCGCCCTCAAATTTATGCCCTCCGTTTCTTGGCCCGTCGACGTTTTTTAACGACCTCGAGCAGCGGGGCAACGTATCTGATAATGGAAATTTATCTGCACCGGGAAACGCCTAGAGAACGGGGTACAGACTAGAAATATCGCTAGATTGTTGAGGTAAATTATATGTGTGGAAAAATACAAAAACGCAGTTTTAGCTTGGGATGGAGTCGGCAAACTTTCCGTCGGTCACCTTCTGCAACATCAACCCCTACAAATTGTCGAAGATCAAGGGCGTTCAGGAGCTGAACGCACTGGTTCGTTTCCGAAGCTCCGTTTTTCTAGATCCCACGGGGTCTCGCTCTCTCTCGAAAGCTGTTGAGCGAGAAGAACACCTAACAGCTAATCGTATAAAAATACTACGTGAAACCTCGCTTTCAGCTGACCGTCTACGAGAACGCCGGCACCACGTAAATTAGATGGAAGTGGAAAAAGACACAAACCTAAAACAATTTTGAACAAATTTCATAAAGTACCTTTGTGCCCAAAGACCAAACGCTGAAGGCGATTTTCATTGGTAATCTACCCCACCGAAATAACACTCATCCGGTCATTAACCATCGGCCCTCCGGCCCCGGGCATCCATTTCCACTTATCAACCCCTGATTTACAGTCGCGTAAAATCGGCTTGGACAAATTTTTGGTGGGGGAGGGTCGTCGGCTTCTGTTTTCACTTTCAAAAGAAATATTCCAAATTCCTGTTGCTTCTTTCTTACCAAATTTTGTGAATTTTCAGGTTAGTAAAGTCTTTTGGACATCTAAAATTCCGGAACCTTGGTAATTGTTGGCGCACGGTAGCGGGAGCTATTAATTAAGCCATTTCTTCCTGAAGGCCTTTTAGGCTTATGCTTGGCTTAGGCTTAGCTTAGGTATGGCTTGGCTTAGACTTAGGCTGGGGCTTCGGCTTGGGCTTAGCTTGTACTTATCTTAACGCTAGGAAGCTTATGCTTCGGCTTAGCTTCGGCTTAGCTTAGGCTTAGCTTAGGCTGCGGCTTTGGTTTGGATTCGGCTTGGCTTGGGCTTAGCTCAGTATTAAGCTTACTTAGGCTTAGGTCTATCCTTACCCGAGTATAGCTTGTCGCGGCTGAGCATCGGTACAATATCCAGAATTGAGGCACGTGATAGGGCGCATATTGCCGGGTACACCCGACCGTTCCCCCAGAGTTACCGTGACGCACAAGGCTCTGCACAGGCTGCTGCGATAAGCCTTGCGTGAGCCTTGACCAAGTCTATTTTGAGGTTTATCTATCAAAGTATCACTCTCTCTCTCTCCCTGTCTCTCTTCTCTCTCTTCTCTCTCTCTGTCTCTCTCTACCTCGTTCTCTCTCCCTTGACTTTCCATCGAAACACCACCGAGATTCCGCTCATATTTTCACACATCCATTCCAAAGTGCGGAAGAAATGAGGATTTTATTGCAAATTTCGGGGAGGCGGAGAGTGAGGTATGGCGTCTGTTTCCGCCCCAAGAAAAAGGGTGGCCTATAAGCCAAGGATTGACTCGGGATTCGGCCACCATCGCTCCTTCAAACCCTAGATAAATTCAAAACGCAAAACTTAAATATTCCTGAATCTATAGCCTACAATATAATGACTACGGTAGAACTGTTGAAATGGTGAGTCGGCGAAGGCTGGCTTTGGTTAGGCTTGGCTTGGGTTTCGGCTTGGGATTAGGCTTGGGTTTAAGTCAAGCTTTTAGCTCCGGCTAGTACAGATTGATTTTCTTTGTTGCTTAGGCTTATGCATAGGCTTAGACTTAGGCTCAGGCTTCGGATTAGGCTTAGGCTTGGGGATAGGCTGAGGCTGAGACTTAGGCTTAGGCTTAGGCTTAGACTTGGGTTAGGCTTGGGCTTAGGCTTAGGCTTAGGCTTAGCCTTAGACAATTCGCTAATTGCTACGATAGCCTTGTTTTAAAAACTTAATTTAATGATGTAACCCAATGGTAAGCCTATTTCAGCTTAACTAAAATATTTGTATATAAACAAATATTTTTGGCGATTGGCAGAAATCTTTTAGGATTTTTGAGGGGAAAAATTGGCCGGTTGTCAGACTCAACCAAATGAAATTTCGATATTCGAATCCTTATTTTATTTAGGTGGCTAGCCGAGTATTGGACGGTGATGAAGCGATGGGCCCTATTCCGTGCTCTCATTTTTGTCAGCTCTTTTGTAATCGTGGCCGGGGTGCTGTTGATATTGTTGGGGTCGAGATATAGGTAGGACCTTACGAGCATTTTAATACCCTTTTAGTGCATTTGTGTCTGAGGATCACATGTCGACCGGGGAGGCCCATGCTCTGCTCATCCTCGGCGCCGTCCTCACCGTGCTCGGCATCGTCGGCTGGGTGGTTGGCGTCTGGAGAGAGGTGAGGGAAAGAGGCAAACTAGCGGAGATCATTGGGGAATTAGGAAAAATTTTGTCTAGTGGTTCTTGCGGAAGATTAAATACCTTGGCATGTTGGCGAACTAGCAGAGATTATTGCCTGAAATTGAATTAAAGGGCTCGGCAACTCAATTTTTACAGGTGCAACACTCTGGCCCCGATGAAGAGGAGGACATTAAAACGATAAGCGAAACTGTATAAATGTACATAAACTTTATTATGCCATATTTATCGACACACCAGTGAGGTCACAAAATAGGAGTGCGGGGATACGGTAATTGAAAGGTGGATGTCGGCATGGTCCTTTTTCGGGAACGCTATGAAATCCAGGGGGTAACGGTCGATTTTAAGGTGATTTTCCGCAAAAGTTTTCCGATTTTCCTGCATCGTGTAGGCCGGTTGATAGTGGGCGGAGTTTGCTGTAAGGATGAGCGTAGTGGAAAATTAACGACTTGCTATCACAATGCCCAAGTTTCAGAATGTCGGCTTCTCAGGTTGTCGAAATTTCAGGATGTCGACATTTTTTTGGCATAGAATCTGGGGTTTTCCCCTGGAGATTTTTATATTTAAATTTCGACATTCTGAAAATTCGAAGTTCTGAAATTTCACATTATGAATTTCGATATTATAATTTTCGACATTTTGAGTAACAAGCACGTAACTCTGTCCGTATGAATTAAGATACCTTTTTAACAAGAAACATCCTGAAACAGCCCTAAAATTTGCCCCCTCTACCGTACCCCGATTCCACTCGAATTCGCAGGGCAGCGGCACGACGAGAATGTGAAAGCTCGAGACAGCGAATGCCTCGTGCACCGCCCACGTGAACATAGCCATCGCCAGCCCCATCCACGCCATCATTTGATCGCTGCTGGCTGGAATTCACTGGGTAACGAGCGAAGATCCTTGTGGAAAAAACTGTTTTAGCTACCTACCGTAGACATCGCAATTTGGGTGCAATATAAAAGCCGTGATGTCGTCGTAGATCGGCCGGGAACAAGTGAGTGTCACAAAGACGCAGCCGAGGCATAGCATTACGGGTGGGGAGAGTAGGGCTTTCTGGAAAAATAATGGGAATTGGCCAGTAATTGAGAAATATAAAGCGGTGCTTATCGCTTAGCGGGGGCCAATAATTTTTATTTTTTTACCTGCTAATGTTATATTTTATATTTTTTAGTAGCTTTTGGTCTCTAGAAAATTATAACAAAATTCTTAAGCTTGGAAATTTATAAATTTCAATTTTTCCCATTTTTCATACATTTGACCGAAACAATTTTCCAGCTTTTTATAATTTTCTTATATGCCTTTTATATCTAAAAACAGTGTAAAATGCTACAAAAATGGTTGTTTTGATCCCCCCGTTAAGCAAGAAGAACCAACAAACTAACCTTGAAGTGAAGCACTTGGCAAATCGTGATCATCCTCAGGGGCGCCACGACGAAGAAGAAAAACGCGCATGGTTTGAGCAAAAAGAGCACTAAAAATTTTGAGTCTAGAATACCTTGTTTTTGCCGCCCTATCAGAATCTCTAAATTTCAGAATCTCTAAATTTCAGAATCTCTAAATTTCAGAATCTCTAAATTTCAGAATCTCTAAATTTTAGAATCTCTAAATTTCAGAATCTCTAAAAATCAGAATCTCTAAAAATCGGAATCTCTAAATTTCTTTGTTCAGGAAACCATACAGTTTTTGGCGCAAATTGAAACTGTATGGCGCTCTTACTCAACGTCGCCTGTGAAAACTTTTTTTGGGGTAATTTTTTTGCTCTGATCACGAAAAACGTAACCACCAATCACAAAAAGTTAAAATGAATTGCTTATAGCAAAACCAAGTTTTGAAGACAACAGTTGTAACCAAGCACGGAAAAATGGCGCTATGGAAATGCATCTATGTTTTACGTGATTAGCGCATAAAACTACCCTAGAAAAAGTTTTCAGAGGCGTGTTTAGGTAAAAGCGCATTACAGTTTCAATTTGTGCCAAACTCTGTATGGGCTCCTGTACAAAGAAATTTAGAGATTCCGAAATTTAGAGATTCCGAAATTTAGAGATTCCGACATTTAGAGATTCCGAAATTTAGAGATTCCGAAATTTAGAGATTCCGACATTTAGAGATTCTGATTTTTAGAGATTCTGATTTTTAGAGATTCTGAAATTTAGAGATTCTGAAAGTCCACCCTTGTTTTTATCTATTAACTTACTTTTGAGCTACCGTAAAACATACGGTAATACTAAAAATAAAGAAAACGATAACTCACAATTTGGGTCCTGCCAAAGATGCAAGTCCGCCAAGGAAAAAGCTAGCAGACACTCGGCGACCGTCAAAAATATCGCCAAGCAGCTGAGCGCCCTGAGAAGCAGCGGTTTTGGTACTCGACTGTTAGCGGGGGGGCATTTAGCTTGTGGGAAAACCTGGGAAAACCTGGGAAAAGCGGCTAAGCGATTTTAGAAGAATTTTAAGCTCTTGAGCCATTTCTCATAAATTTTTTGATGAAAATTCAAGTCAATGTTTTTAGTACTTTTTATGAACTTTTATACTTGTAAACGGCGTTAAACCCCTAATTTTTATTAGAAAATACGAAAAATATCGATTTTTCCACAAAAAATTACCGTTTTTGAGCAAAATTTGATAGTTGTTAGAGAATTTTTCTAGTCGAAACATAGTTCAATTCTACTAAAAACCATATTAAAATACCTCCTATTAGGTTACTAGACATTTATACTTATATAAAAAAGCGCACCTCATCCACCCCGTCTTGGCAGCGTTCATACGCCCAAAACACACGAAAACGGTCGCAAAGATGCGGAAGGGCATCGTAAAGAGGACAATTGCTCGGATGAGGGTCTAAAAATCATACTTTTATCGTTAATAAACCCACCTGGCTGAGCCAGCGCAACTGCATGGCCCTAAATAACGAAAACGTTGAGGGGACGTCCTCGGTGCTATTTCGTGGCTATTTTCAAGTTTATAAAACCAATTGACAAAACCAAAAACCCAGCACAGGCTGCCCCACGAGTCCCCGAAATGGTAGTGGAACCAGCCCTGCTGGAAATAATCAAACAACGTGAACGTCTCCAGCGTTTCCATCACGTCGGAGCCCTCCCGTGTATAATTGAAGTAGCGCGTCCCTGGAGTTTGATAAAAAAAATCATGGAAACAAAGTCCAACCATTGGGATACGTCACGTAATGAGCCAACTGCCACGACGTCATATTATCGTAGGAATCGCTGCCGATTTCGACGGGTTGCAGGCCGTCGTATACTAGATCGTATCGAGTAGATACCCAGGTTCTGGTTCGTTAGCGGGGGTGACGGGGGGGGGGGTTGGCGAGGAAAAACTAACTGCGTTGTTCAGCAAAACCTAGTAATAAGGCAAACTATTTTATAGGGTTTTTAGTGGTCTCTGATCGCTAACAAGCTGTAAAAATCATAAAACAGTAAAAAAAGTGAAATTCGAACCATTCCTTACATTTTTGGTGTAACAGTCAAAAATTTCCGAAAATTTAAACAACTTTGAATAAACTTTTTATCTACAAAAATGCTTTTAAAATGGCTTTTTTTCACTATACGGCGGCCACGGGAACATAGCAAATTCCCACACCGCTAACGAATAAGCGCCGAAAAACTAACCGGCCAAAACGAAAAGTACAGCCGATCCGCCAATCAGCGTGAGAGCTATTGGAGTAATGGAGCAGCGCAGAGCGGTGTATTCATCCTCGCGCTCCACGCCGCAAGCTTCGTCTGCGTCCAGTGTCATCCTCGTGGTTTCTAGACTAACCATACTTTTGAAAGTACTAGAATAGCCTTTTGAATACCAAAAACAGCGGAAGGCTCGATGGGTAGCAATTAAAATCGACTATAGCACTGCAAAACCAGCCAGTAAGCACGCAAATATTATTTCCAAGCCGAACTCGAAGCCGTTCCACGTTTTTGGAGATCAATTCGCGGGCAGGGCGCTAAAATTGGCAAGTTTCAAGCCGAGGGTACGACTAAAACCCGCTGCGAGCCGCACGCGCTGGCGGGTGTGGTGAGAAAACGCGCGACAAACCTTTCCGGCCTTCCTTCACAAATCAGCGAAGACAAATCGCCGGTGGTTTCCAGTTCATTCCTGACGGTTTTCGGTGTCAATGGCATTATGGATGGCTGTGGAAACGTTCGTCCGGCTGGTTCGTCGACATGGACAAACGGTTTCCTCTTGTAATTTGCTATTAGAACATCATTGGGCTGATCAGGTGTGTTTTTAAACTCGGGTTCACTCATGCACGCTTAATAAAATTATTTATCAACAAAGGATTCCAAACGTGTTTTGTTACCGGTAATAAAAGCTGATTAAAAAGCAAGGGGCTTATGCCATACAAACAGAAAAAAAGCAAATAAGAGAGCAATCTGAACATTTAGCGGGCGGGGATCAAGAAAAGGCTTATTCGCTCAGTCTGCCGGAGCCTCATCGTCAGAAGAAGACTCGGAGAGATTTTCCAGGTGGCTTGACGAGCACTTCCAGCTTGAGGGAGACGGAAGGGCAGGAGGACGAGATGTTTCCGGAACGAACCTTCTGACATGAAGCAGCATCGCGCGCATGGTGCTGGGCTTCAATGACGACGGATCCAGATCGATTTCCCTCGACTTTGCCGCAAGGTTCTAAAAAAAGATTGATATTTATTCATTGGCAAAAATCAAGGACGCACTACAAACTACATGTGTCCTGGCAAAAAAAGGAAGCGCTTACCGAGCCTTCCAATTTATCGATCAGTTCGACGAGCTGCAGCAGTCCGTTTCCGGGCAGTGCCGAAATTCCACGCTGCAGCTCGCTCATTTCATCCATTGTTAGCTGTTGTCCTTTGTTGCCACGCCGATAGGTGCCGGGCGCCTTCTTTTTCTTCTTCGATGCCACCTTCTTGGGCTGCTTCTCAGCATCTTCGGCGAGCAATTTTTCGAGCTTCTTCTCCAGCCACACCGGCACCATAGCGCCCGGTGCCAAGGCCATGAGTTCGCTGCGGAGTGCGGCAGATCTTTGCAGCCAATCCTTGCGACGCTGCTCCCAGTGATCCATACTCTTCGTGTAGTCATTGAGTGATTCGGGCCGGCTGGCAAGGGCGGTAATTGTCTTGTTATTGTTGTTATTAAGAGCCTATAAAATCAATCAGTGAAAAGCCAAGTAGCAAACCTTTGCGGCACAAATTCGAGTCCATTGTTCTTTAATGAAGTCCTGCAGTTGCTTGCCGGCCTGGTGCACCAGATCGTGTGGCGGGTTATACTTGAAGCAATTATCCAGCATCAATGCAATATCGGCCAAAAATTCGTCAGCATTCCCGTATTGTCTGAAAAACAATAATAAAAGTTTAAAAAAAATGCAATTTTCACCTGTAATCCAGCTTTATCCGCATCGTGCGCAGGTCGATGGGCTGTGTGATGATGTCGTGATAATCGACGAGACCCAGGGCGTCGGCGTCCACCGGATAGTAGAAATAGAAGGTAAAGGGCTGAAGTCAAATTGACCAAACCATAAAAAAAACCATACCTCCGCATCTTTGCACATGATGCGTTGGTGAAGCTGGTCACAGGCCACCAGATCGTCTGGAATAGGTCCGAGGAATCGAGGGTGATCGTAGTCGCTCCACATCGGATGTTTTCGTCTGCGTTGTGACTGAAATAGAAAAGATAGGGCGCTATTGCGGTTTGCTGGCCCCACTTATATCGGGCCAAAACCTTATATCGGTGTTGGTCCGATATAAGTGGGGCCAGCAAACCGCAATAGCGCGAAAGATAGATTCGTGTGTCGAAAGGGTGCTCACTTGTCGTAGGCCCGGGCTTGAAGTGGACGCGCTGGAGACGGTGGGCTTGCTTTCCTTTTCGGGCCCTAGGAAAACGCATCGCGCGGCAACGGATGACATTTTCGAGGCTGTAGGGCTCGTCTGGAAAATGAATTTGGATAAATTCAAACAGGCAGCGATAAAATAAGGAAGTTAAGAATAAAAAGAAAAAGAAGTAAAGATCAATTCAAGAAAAGATCGAATTCGGCTTCGCGAAGCAGAGGCAAGTCGAGAGTCACAAATTTTCATGCTCTTATTCTATGGGAAGAAAATATTCGGAATTCTCGTAAGAACGAATGCCAGGCAGAGACCTACCGTTTCCCTTTTTTTTCGCCTTTCCCCCAAAGCGATCTGCGGGTTGCCCACGTCCAGGCCCGTAGGAGGGGGGGGCGAAATCGGTCGAGGTCCCAGAAATTCATAAGGGGGACCCTTATGAATCTATCGTCCTCCTACCTATCGTCAAAATTTTTGCCCCCCGAAATTTCAGTTCCGCTACGGGCCTGCCCACGTCCCTTTATTTCTTATTTTACGGACCCTTATGCCGTTCCATTTTGACTGGGAATTTTTCAGCGGAATGCCGCGAGTTTCCGCATGCCGGACGACTGTATAAAACATGAAAAAAGATCCCATGCACAGGCGCACATTGGCATCACTTGATTTTGATCTCTCATCACTCTGTTCGAGCGATCGGAGAGTTCGCCGTTGAGTCGTATTACTGGGATATCTTTCCAAAAGTTGTCCAATTTATCAATTGTCGTCCAGGCGGCTTCAATATTCCCCACGTGGGTTTACGGCTTGCCATTTCTTCGAAGCTGTGACAATATCAATTCTCACGACTACGCTCGAAGGTTTTTGATAATTCATGGACAAAATAGGGTGTTTACTGCTGTGCTGTTCTGAGGCATTGAAATTCGTATAAGATTCATCCCGAATGAGAGCATTGGCTAACGGGGTAGAAAGTCACAACGGGTAAAAGAGAATAATGGGCATAACTAACAAGGACTAAACCAATAACAATAAATTGAGGCGGGAATAGCCGTGATGATCAATAGTCTTCGCCGCGAGAGACGACCTCCTTGCAAGTGGGACGCATCAGAATTGTATGTTCCCACTGGGCGGTGTACGAGCCCTTGACATCGCAGAGGGGCGGGTAGGCGTCGACGATTCCCTGCACAGATAATGTAACTATAAAATTGACTTGCCCTCACCTTATCGCACAAGTCCTTCAAAGCCATCAGGTACTTGGTTTCGTTCAAGCGATCCAGCCAACTAAAACCCTACTATGCGGGGGTCCAAAAAAGGTCCCGCTGTTAAACGAAGGACTTATACTAGATCGGGCTGAAACTTTATATATGGTAGGATTTCGCTTACATGGGTAATTCCTAAATGGATAAGGAGGGCCATAATCGCCCATGGGTTCGGTCCAGATATTTCAAGGGAAAGGCCCTACTGTACGTGTTTTTCCCGCGTTGCGTGCAGGTGCGCGAAATAGCAAGTGGGATTTAGCTTCGCAGGCCTGCTTTCGTAATTGCGCGACGCGTCTAACGCAAGCGTTGCGGAGACGCGTCGCCCTCCCTAAGCGGGAGTATTTGAATGCGCATTCGAAATTTACCGTCGGCAGAAAGCCAGTGTGCCAAAGTTCTTGTCGATCGTCTGAAGGAGGCCCTTTGATCGCGGTAGTCTGGAAAAAAATCAGAACCCGAGTAAATCCAATGTACCGCAATGGAATGTGCTGCTCGGCGAGGTCAAAGTTCTTCATGTAGTGCGAGCACTCCATATCATCGTGGACGTAGCCCTTGCCGGTTGATCCGAACGTTTCAATGGCATACACCTAAACTCCAGAATACAGAGAAATACAGGCAAAACGACCTCATTCTCCTCCATCTTCGTTTGCTCACCACCCTTGACAATAGGCACCGTCTTTCCGGCGTGAATCCTAAAAGATAAAAAATTAAATAGTCAACGAAGCTTTGAATAATCCCTTACTAAACGAATCTGCATTCTACCTGTACTGTCCGATCGAGTGTCCGTTCAAATTGCGGATCGGCTTGACAGTGTACGTGCGACCGTCGAGCTCCACTTCATGCGAGGTCATGACCTAAAAATCATATATGCGGAAATTGGATCGCCTAACCTCTTCGATCACTTCTCCAATGTCACAGAGACGCACATCAATTCCAGCCTCACGAATACCGGCGTTCGTGGCCTCTTTGACGGCGTTGGCCTAAAAGGGGTAAATCAGATAAAAACAAAGAAAAGTTACCAATGGATCAAACTTCGGGTCAAAATGGAGGGTAAAGGCCGAATCGATGAGACGGCCGCGTACATGGATACCGTAGTCGATCTAAATCAAAACGAAATTGGTAAGGAGGTGACAATTACCTTGCAAATGTCACCGTACTGCAACACAGTCTCGTCGCCCGCATTCGGGGTGTAATGTGCAGCGCAATTGTTCAGCGAGCAGCCGGTGGGAAAGGCCAGTCCAGCTTCAAGTCCCATTTCGCCGATTAGCCGCCGCGAAGTGGCTTCGAGTTGCGAGCTGAATCACATTTTGATCAGGCAGCATATTGAAATCCCATACCAAATGTCGATCATTTTCATCCCGGGCTTCACCCATGACTTGACGTATTTGCGTACTTGACGATGAGCCTCGGCCGCACGGCGATAGTCCTCGGTGTAAAATTGACAAGCGAGCTAATCGAATTTACCTGCCACATCTCCTCTAAGCTGGCATCCATAGCCTTCTTTTCCTCATTGGAGATGCGATCGCTGGCCTTGCGCTCGTCTTTTCCCGGGATGTAATATTCGACTTCTTCGCCTAGGGATGGTTATTATTTCCAAGAACAACCGCCCTACCGAGTGGGTATTTGCCGGTGGTGATCTGCTCGTGGATGGGCTTCATAGCGGCCACTTCGGCTTCCCAAGCGGGCCCGGAATTCGCATCTGATTTTCCGGCGTCTTGAAGAAGCATATACAAAACCAAAGAAATTCAACCTTTTGCCGGTGCCTTCGGATTTTTTGCGGCCTTGGCCGCCTTTGCTTGGTCGGCTACGGCCATCTCCGCAAGGATCGCGTCCAGGTCATCATCTAGCCAACATATAAATGTCGGAAACGTTAGATACCTGCTTTAGCGCCTTTTCCACCCTTCTTGGCGCCGCCGGCCTTCTTGTTGTTAGCAGCGGGCATGGTTTATTCTAGAACCAAAGATTACCCTCAAAACGAAACCTTTTTATTGTAGAAAAGTCCCAGAGATGCGGAGATGATAGAGCGCCTTAGTCGGTAACATGAGTAACAACCCCAAATTGGGCAACAACCAAACGCAAAGTAAAAAATTTATTATCACACAACGAGATCAAAGTACCGTCATATCACAACTATCACGAGCGAATATTCAGACCGAATAGGCGGATTTGGCAATGTAAGTCTGCCAGGCTTGAGCAAATCGCACATTGTATTGGAAGGCAGAATTGTAGTCGACTGATTTCCCAGATTCTGGGCACATCGAGCGGCTGTCATTCTCGTGCTTGGCGGCCTTCTAAAAGCTTAAATTTCCATGCCGAAAAGTAAACACGAACCGTGACGGGAGCAACCGGCACTTCGATTCGCACAGACTTCTTTATCTTCTAAAAAAGTGTGAGGCGGTTAACCGACGACACGTACCATTGTCGACGCTTCCACAACTGTTTCCTCAGCCCCCATAGCGATGACATTCCCATCCTAATAGTCAACTGTTAGAACATAAAGGACCAACGAACCTTCTTTTTATGCTTGTTCACAAGTGCCAGGAGCCAAACCAACGGGTCCTTTCCCTCCTTCATTGACTTCTTTTCGTCTCCCTTCATCTAGAAACAAAATTGTTTGAAGCGAATCGAATACCTCTTCTGAAGCTTTTAACTCGGCCCATTTCCGAGCCTAAATATCATATGGGTTTCAATTCGATGGTTACTGCTTCCGCCCAGTAGTCGGGTGTCCTCCGGCCAGAATCTGGGCTCACAACGCTCTTTTGTGGAACATTCTCGGGCCTGAAACCAGTCAACAAAAAAAAAGTTATATTACACTTTGGTTTCCGCATTGCAAGCCAACGCCGCCATTCGGTTGCAAATATCGTTGAAGCTCATGTCCTGGTGGCTACGTTGCGCGCGTTCCATCATAACCTAAGGTGGGCCTCATTTTAATTAAAAAGTTTAAAAACTTTTTGACGATTCTTCTTATCACGCTCTCGCCTCAAACGCGCTTCATTCAGCCTCGCGGTTCTTTGTTCGAGGTCGTCTTCGGATGGCCCAGGCACCGAATCAGAGTCCTAATAACTGAAGTTTTCAAGCAATGATAAAACACCTTCGTTGGTTCGATCGCCAGCTTCCCGGTTGCCTCGGTCATCTTTTCGACAGGATCTTTCGCTACTGTTCGTAACGGCCAATGGGATATCTCTCCGAAACTAAAAGCATAAGTTAAATCATTGTCCGGAAACTAACCGCTCTTTCGCCATCTCGAGCCATGCCTCGGGGGTGAGTTTGTCGCGAATCTTGATCAAATCCCCGCGCAAATAGCGGAGCTGTTTCATCCGACTCGGTACAAATGCGCCCCTTTTCTTGGCGGGTGTAGAAGTTCCATCCTGAAAAGATAATTGGGTATTATTTTCAAGGACAACTGGTGTAGTCTTGCAAAAAGCAAATTTCAAGCAAATTTCTAAAGCCCGAGCCACCTTATTAGGTATTATAAGCTTTGTATCCTGTAGTTTAAGTAGCTAAAAGTACTAAGCATCTAAAAACAAAATAGCAATCACGGGGAAGCTTAAAGGGCTGCCGACGGCATGTGTCGATCCCTCCTCATCAACAAATTGGCAAGTAGCCAACAGAGGAGAGAGCGCGCCCTGGGGAGAGGCGCAGAGACATTTTCTTTTCCGCGCGTAACCGATTGACTATGCCGTCGGCATCCCTTTAATATCATTGTTAAAGCGATAAGGACGGCATCTGGTGACCCCCCCCCTGTCTCGGGAGGGTGTCATCATTTTTTTGGCAATAGCCAACAGGGTAGAGAAATTTTCTTTCCCGCGCGTATAATAATGTGACTTATGCCGTCCTCATCCCTTTAATGCCCGACTTCTCAAATTGAGCAGTGTAATTCCCTGATAACGAGGTTTAAGGCAAGTATCTGTAATAATCAAAAACGGCTTTTGGAGCGTCATGTAGTCAAAATGCGTACTGCCCCCCCCCCCAAGTGCATTAGCACGGCGCTTTCTATTCAAGAATACGCTGAACTAACGAGACTCTGGACTGGCCTTTCCGAGAGTTTTCGATAGATACCAAAATATAAAAATCGGACACGACTGCGGCCGGCTAGGGGGGGTTTGGGACAACCTGTACAAGTTGCCATTTTCAAGGAGTTTACCTCAAGAGTCGTCATGATGTTACTTCATAGGCTTGAGAAGGTGTAAACGATTGTTTCACGGCAACAAAACGGCAGAACGCGAGGGTTGGGTGAAGGACAGGGAGAGCTAAAAATAATTGAGAGGGTGGGAAAGGGATCGTGGCTGTAGTATGGCCGCGGAATAGGATCCGCGCGCACATTCTCCTTTCACAAACCAAAAATGTCAAATCTACCCATTTTATTTGTAGCAAAGTAGGCTTAAAATATTGGCAACAATTATTGAGAAATTTACTTGGTATTCAACAATTTGAGGAATATTTGGTAGTTTTGGCTTATCTGGTTCTTGCGTATTCCCGGGGAGAGACTTTTTTGCCCAAATCTCAAATTTTCCTTTATCCATTTTGCGAAAACGCGTATCTATTCCGTATAGTTCCCCCAAGTGTTTTCACATTGTTTTTAGCAAAATTTAAGCCTATTTGAATCGGCAAAACTTTTTAAAAAGTTAGAAAAACGCTTGAAAAAGTCGAAAATTTGGTCATTTTTTGGTCGAAGAATTGATTTTTCGACCTAAAATTCATTTTTTATGAAATTTTGTAATGTATTATGCTTAGGAATAGCTATAAACAGTTTAGAAACAATTCCACTATTTATATTAAAAAAATCTAGGCTTGGGCCGAAAAAGGCCCCCCCCCCCCCCGGGAATACGCAAGAACCACTTATCTTTTTGTTATTAGAACCAGATGGAATTCTGAATTGAAACTATTAAAGTTGGTTTAAGGCATTGTTCCCCCCCCAGGCAGCCCAAAATGTTGGAAAAAGCGCTCTAAAACTTTCCAGAAACATTATTTCCGGGATCTCTCAACTGAATAATCTTTTGCCCCCGATTGTTCCTCCATCCCCGAAATTTGTCATCCCCGAATTTCACCTGTTTTCCTCACTAACACACCGGTTCTTGATCATAGCAGCATAACACCCTCAAATTTTAGCCACGAGCTATCGACGCACTACCAGCTATGGATGATCAGGATCAAGAGGCCGCCCACGTTTCGGTGGCACTGCAACAGCTCAGAAGGTGCTTTTCTGGCCCCGATTCTTCCATAACCTCAGCTTTAGCTTGGGTCAAGAATCCGACGTTGCGCGCGCCACCTGGGAACTGGCCAACAAAATCGAGACGATCGACAAGCCGTTTGATATCAAGTGCGTTGCAGCAGATCTTGCTTTAGTCATCCCATTTTCAGTGTTGAAGAGCAGCGACAAATCCGGGCCGCGAACCCTTGGGAAAAAGACCCGCACTACTTCAAGGAGGTCAAGATCTCGGCCGTGGCATTGATCAAAATGGTCACCCATGCGCGTAGTGGCGGAAATCTTGAGGTGATGGTTCCAGAAGGCAAATTGTACATTTTTATTTAGGTAATGGGTCTGATGCAAGGCCACGTCGATGCGAACACGTTCGTCGTCACTGAGAGCTTTGCACTGCCCGTTGAGGGGGACAGAGACCCGGGTGAATGCTCAAGCCGAGGTATTATCGCCAAAGCATGGAACAAACCACTGTTTAGGCCTACGAATACATGACGAATTACACGGAACTTGGCGAGAACCTTGGTCACAAACACAAAGTGTTAGGTAAGTGATTTTCTGGTTATAATTGGAATTATTAGGCTGGTACCACTCTCACCCCGGCTATGGTTGCTGGCTGTCCGGCATTGACGTCACCACACAGTTCAACAATCAGACTTATCAGGTGGAAACTCGGTTCTGAATTTAACTGACTGTTACAGGAGCCTTGGGTGGCGGTTGTTATCGATCCGCTACGCACGATGAGCGCTGGAAAGGTATTAGATCCTTTGGACACCTTCAACCACCGATTTTAGGTCGACATCGGTGCTTTCCGCACCTACCCCAAGGGATACAAACCGCCAGAGGAGCGTGGCGGAGCCAATGAATATCAGGTTTTTTTAATTAGATATTTTTAAGACACTCATTTCAGAGCGTGCCCCTGCACAAAATCGAAGATTTCGGCGTGCACTGCAAGCAATATTATTCCCTGGACGTCACCTTCTTCAAAAGCGCTCTGGGTAACGATTTTAATAGGGATTTGAACTTGCGGTATAGACGATAAGGTGCTGAAGTCGATGTTCAACACCTATTGGATCAACTCGTTGCGCGCATCGCCAATCTTCGCCAATTCCGACTACATCAACGCGCAGCTAAGCGATTTGGCGGGCAAGACGAAGCAGGTTTGGCGGTTGTTGAGCATTCTTGATCTTTTTTACGCTAACCTATTGCTGGTATGTAATCATTTTCAGATCGAACGCCATTGTCAAAGGCCCGAACGTAACGCCAAGGATGTTCTGGAGAAAGTTGAAAAGGTTTGTAAATTAACGGTTCTCAATATGTCCCTTCTCATTTAGTTGGTCAGCGATGCCCAGACAGTAGGCGAAGAGTTGCAGTGCGGAATGTTGTCGATGGAGCTGAAAAAGGTAAGACCCTTTGATCATACTCATCTGTTTTTTTTAGAATCTCTTCTCTCGCCCCCTGTGCCGATGCCGCGAAGATGCCGTGGCTGAAGAGCAGATGGCCGAATGAATGATCTCCAATTCCTCCTGTTCTCCAACCGGTGTCGCCCTAATGTATATTCACGATTCGGGTGCGTTTCTCTCTTTTTAAAATGTGATTTTGCTGCATATGATAAAACGGATTTTACCAGATTTTTGTTTGAACGAAAATTTATTAGCATCCCTATGAGGTACGATATTGAGTGATCGGTTGGGGGGAATGGTGGCGTTAAAGCGGAGGGTGACCCGTTTTTTTTTCAAGGAAAAACACATTGGCTTGAGCGTTGCCGAGGGATAGTAGCGATAGTTATTAGAATTTAGGAAGTTTTTCTGGTTTTCTATTAAGTGACCAAGCAGGCTGGTAGACGGTCGATCCTAGGAACATTTTCGGCTTGTAGTTTTAGTGTGGCTTTACCTGCGTCCCACTCGAAGTCGCGCGGTAACGGGACGATTAGTATGTGGAATGATGAGGTCGCTAAAGCCTCGTGCACCGTCCAAGCGAACATGCCGACAATCAGACTGGCCCAGGCCAACATCTGCTTTCCACCGGCTAAAAATTGCAGACTTTCGAGGTTTTTCAGGATTTTGTTAAAACAAAGCCAGTTCTGACACGAAATTTTACGTTTTTTCGTTGACTTACTGTAGATGTCGCAGTAGGGATAGAGTTCATAGGCGACCATATCTTCATACAACGGATGCGCCGACGACAGCACCAAAAACACGCAGCTCAGGCACAGCGCCACCGGCCAGCACAACACCCGACGCTCGGCTACTAGCTAGAGCCTATGGTACGACCCGTTTACCGCACTCACCCGTGAATTGATGATCTGAAACATGACCATCATCCGCGTCGGCACGATCGTGAAAAAGGCGATCGCGCACGGGTGGAGCAGCTGGGCCACTGAAAATGGGGCAAAAGTTTAACCTCAATTTTCGGCGCCTACGCTGCTTGTCTTGCCAAATCTGTAGGTCGGTGAGCGCGAATGAGGCCAGACATTCGGTGACGGTCAAAAACATGGCCAAGTAGCTGAGGGCTCTGGAAATGTATGGATTAGGTGGAAAAGCAGCCTTTTTTTAGTTTTTCCAGGGCGGTCCGAATTTATCCCGATTTCTCTGTATAATGCCGTAATAACCAGTGTCTTTTTAGTAAGATTTAGTTATATTTAAAGTAAAACCCTTCAATTTTTCAAAAATTTGCCAATTTGCTTGAAAAATCTATATTTTAAGTATTTTTGTGACAAGATTTCATAATTTTTTACGCTTAGGGATAGTCAAAATACTTTCTAAAAACTTTCTCTATTTTTAGCTAACTTGCTCTATTCAAATTCCAAGTTTCCCCCCTGGTATTAACAAAGCCCGGAAAGGCCAATACACACCTCATCCCAAACGTATTCTCCTCCCGTAATCGGCCGATGACGACGAAAAGCGTCGCGAAAATCCGGAAACCCATCGTGCCGAGGACAACGGTCCGGATTAGGCTCTAACACCAACCCGTTTCCTGCAGCTGCTTCAAACACTTACCTGACTATACGGGCGCAATTGGAATATACGGAAGATCGAGAAGGTGTTGGGCACATATTCCGTGTCGTTCCGCGGCTATGCTAGGCTTAGTTTTGGCGTTAGGACAAGTCGAACCCAGCAAAAGTTGTCCCAGGTCGACCCGAAGAAGTACCGGAAGTAGCCGGCCCAAAAGCGGTCGAACGCCCAGGTGGCTTCCTTGTATTCGAGCTCGCCCGTTTCCTCGTTCGTCCAATTGTAGTAGCGGGTGCCTGTAAAGTTAAGGGATTGAGCTCAGGAAGTTTTGAGGGGAAAAGCGGTTTATTGGATACGTACCATTTGGCAGCGTTTCAAAGTGGCTCAGTTGATGGATGGTTTCGTTGAGCCAAGAATCGCGACCGACATCTGCAGGTTGCAGGCCGTCCCAACCTCAAAAAGTTACCGTTCAACGCTTTGTTTAAGTTTCATTTTAAAAAATTTCAGCGACTACCGACGATACGAAAAATACCTCTCTAGGGTGCTTTCGCCTTACCGGGGGATGGCAACTCTTTTTGCTATAGGCCCTGAAATGCCCAGCAAGGTGTTTGAATAGGGTTCTTTTTTAAATAAAATGCGACTATATGTTAAAAGGGAAAACCAGAATTACGTAAATTTTAAGTGGAAAACGATAAATCGGACATTTTAGAAAAGTTGAAAAAGATTAACTAGGCTTTAGTCAAGACCACCATTAACTCAAATTAAAATTAAACTAGTATTCAACCCACCAGCCAGTATAAAAAGCACGGCAGACCCTGCGATAAGCCCGAGAGCGATGGGGGTGATGGAACAGTGCATGGCAGCATATTCGTCCTCACACTCCACCCCGCAAGCCCCGTCCCCGTCCTCCGTCAGGGAGAGCATGGCGCTTGGGGGGTGTGGCCGTTTTGAGAGGCTTCTCCTTAAATTTACCTGGAATGGAGTATTTAGCATAGGTTTATGCGGTTAGGGTAAAAAGGAAAACTTGAGGAAAATCAAGCCTGAGGACGGGGAAAAACAATCGAGTTTTTCGCAATATTCGCACACATTTTTTCCTAGGATCCAGTTTTTCCAAAGTAGTAGCGGAAGTGCTTCAATACTATTTTCTACTATCGCTAGAGGTAAAAATTGGAAATTTTTAGCAAAAAATAGATAGTTTTTACGAAAATCGATGATTGTCGAGTAAATTTGTAAATTTTCAGCAAAACGCACCAAAAAATGTATTTTGTTCCAGATCGACGATTCACCGGACATTTCTTTTTTTTTGTAAACAGAACAGCAAAACAGAAACAACATTCTTGTGAACAGAGCAGCAAACAGAAAAGTAAACTTTTGCGACATTTTTCTAAGTTTTTAACTAGTTTTTCCACTCGACTACGATAAAAATGCAAAAAAAAAACCAGAAAATAATTTCCCACAAACAGGTATATAGGTAGATCTGGACTCATAAGATCTCCCCCCACGTTATTGCAAAAGCACCAAACAAATCAAGCACAAACAGGCATAAAACTCCTGAATTAAAAAAAGAAAGATTTCGAAATTTAGACGGTTTAGAAGATTTCGAGTTGCTCCAGGAGCTACCTCGGATTCGGCTTCACGGCGCTAGTGAATCGCAGAAAAAGGGCAAATCTTGGCACGCCCATGAATGCGCGTGAACTGACTGACACTTCCCCTTGTTCGAGCCTCGCCCTCAAAATGACACAGTGTGCCACCGGGCAGCCACTGTACGTACACCCTTTGTGTGCTCAAAACCTGGCGATCAGACTCCTAGGAAACGGGGAGCTCGAAGTAGAAAGTGCCAGCCTGTGGGATCTGGCTCCCAGCCGGGTGGCGCCGCTTGCGGTTGGCATGAGCACTAGCTCCCGGTGGGCATGCGGGGGGAGAAAGCGAGAAAAAGAGTTGATGATCCCCGCCAGAGCAGCCAATTAATCGGCGGGGAAAGCGTCGCGCGCGAGACGTGCACAGCGGTGGAAAGTGATGGAAAGCCGCGAATTGGGCAGCGCCTACGCGTTGCCCTGCTATTTTAAAGGTGCCGGGAAGATGGTGGAGTAGAGCGCTTCGATTTTGCGCTTCAGTAGCATTTAAATAAATCCAGTTCTTTTGCAATATCGGGGGGGGCGGGAGAACGAGCTTGCAAAAAGGCAAGAATTTCCTGGCAGCGTAATAGTAAGTCTTTTCATAGCGTTTTTAGTGTAATTAGCTATATTTTACGCGGAAAATCCCATCCAGATTAACGTTAAGCCATTTTTAAAATCCCAAATTTTGCCCGAAAAGACGATATTTTGTATTTAAAAAAAATAAAAGCTCGTTTACCGTTTTGCCTTTTGGAATAGGAAAAAACATTTTAGGAGCACTTGATAGAGAAATTTTAAATTTATGAATTTATAATTTTATGGACAATACAAAAATATACATTTTCGACCACAATTTTCAAAGTTGAAAAATCTTTCTAGGTTTTCAAATAGTGCGCATTGCAAAAAGCAGCAAAACCTATAGCCAAAGCTATATATGGGTCGAAGCCCGGGGGCGCCGCCAGAGGCGCCTCCCGAGGCACCCCCTGGGGGCGTGCTGAATGGCGCCTGTGGCGGCGCCTGGGGCCGACCAGGAGGCGCCGGGAAACCGAGATGCAAATCAAAACATTCAAAATTATTATCGGAATGAGATTTGACTGCTGATGCCTGTTATCAAAGAAGGAAGAATACCCGACGAATCCGGATCCTTTTGCATTATAGAGGAAGGGGGAGTTTATGGGGAACCATTTTTCTAAGGATCTTTTTTCTAAAATATATAGTAGAAGTGTTTCGAAAGCGTTGTTATTCCCAAAGTAACTTCACAAGCTTTAACTAAAATATCGAAAAAAATCGATTTATCTGCCAAAAATCGCCGATTTTCGAATCTCACTTTCTCAAGTTCGAAAATTCCACCTACAGTTTTCGCCAGTTTTTTTAAAAATTGTTTTTCCACTTAAAATATGTTAATTTTACTAACAACGTTATTAACTGACTGACTATTAAGTTACTAGGCATTTCTGAAGTGCAAGGGAAAAAGTTCATTGCAAGCTCCGCTCTACTGTCCGTTGCTCTTCCGCTCGAAATGAATAATTAACATTAAAGTCGAAAATTTGCATAATCACACAGGCGCCGTTGGTGACGCCCCCCGCCCCGCTAAAAATCATATGGGCGGCGCCCCCAGGCGCCACTCGGCACGCCCCCTAGGGGGCGTCTCGGAGGCGCCTTTGGCGGCGCCCCCGGGCTTCGACCCATATATAGCCAAAGCTATTCAATGCAACACACTGAACGAGCATGAAAACATGAGCGTACATAGCTGGTCGAAGAGCACTAGCGGTCGGGAGAACAATGACAGGGATGGCAGGTTCATGCTCTGCCCCCCGAGTCGGTGTAGGTTGACCTCACTCTCCCATAGCTGAGCAGCATGTAAACAAATATTTTTTTCTGAAAAATGCCTGTCATCCACGGCGGACTGACCTGGGGTATTTGACCCCATTGAAAGCGCAAGCACCGAAATTTGCATATCTGGACTTTGCGAAAAGAAACGTTGAAAAGCTTTTTTTGGATTTTTTTTCGGCTGTAAATTGGGTAACTTATAACTGGTATCGTATCTACGAGGTATCATAGAGTCAAGGTTCATAATTGTTATATAAAATTTATATAAGGTTCTATTGCATCATCGGGGGGGGGTTGTAGGTGGAAAATTTTACTTGAGAATCCCATTTTTCAAAAGTTAATAGCGAAAGTGTTTCTGAGCTATTTGTTACCACTATTCCTAAACCTCAAAATGGTACAAATTTATATCACAAAAAACATCGTTTTTCAACCTAAATTGGCCGAATTTGGCAACAGAATTGTGACTTATAATTTTTAAAAAGCTTTTTAGATAGTTTTTCTAATTGAAATATAGTTGTATTCACTGAAAACACTTATAAAGACCTTCGCTAATTGCTAGAAATTTTCTAATAAAACAAAAAAGTGGCAAATGAATGTTGCGACGCCATGAAACTCCCCAGAAAAAAGCACAGTTCAGGCAGCCGTTTGGCAGGGCGGCGTGACAGATCCCAAAATTGAACGCTTCCTTGGAGGGGATTGAACCCGGCACCGATCCCCTGGCAACGCCCGTCAATTTTCGGATCGGGATCACCGCGCGGATACAGCTGAGGTGGGCAACCAGAGTACAGGGCAGCAGTCAGAACCTCGAACCGGTCAGAAGCCCCCGCCGCCGCCCCTGGGGCTCGAACCCATTCATCGGATCGTCGTGCTCCCATCTCAAAAGCCTGGAATCACAAATAGCCCGTTTTTTGTGGCGGCGCCGCCCTCCCGCTGCAAAGAGTTCCGGGGTCAAGCCGGCCGCTTGGCCGGACATTGCGCGTTTCAAAAAAAACAGGCACCACATTATGCGATCGGGTTGAATAATAGCCTCCTCCCCCTGCGACGGGGCCATACAGCCAGACACCCCCCGCGGATTGATGGCCGTTCAACTGGAAATCCGAGGGATCGTGGGCGCGGAGGGTTCTACAAATCGCGGTCCTGGTCTGTTAGCGGGGGAGGGGGTTAGTAAGTATTTTCATAATGTTTTTAGTCAAATATAAGTATATTTTAGCTAGAAAAACTACCTAAAAACTTCAAAATTTAAAAAAAAATCGAAATTTTGGTCAAAAACCGGCCATTTTGCTCGAAAAATCTATATTTTTTGTAGTTTTTTAATAAAAATTTGTAAAGTTTTCACGTTTAGGAATAGTAAAGAACAGTTTAGAAACACTTCCGCAATTTATATTTAAAAATTGGTTCGTAAGAAAAAAAATGTGTGAAAAAAAACGTGAAAATTGTGCGCACCGCCACTTTTCCCCCAAAAATAAGTTCCGCATCACCCCCAACAGCCGGTGTTCGGCAGGGGAAATCAGTAAAATAGCTGCGCCACCGACGAACTTGGCGACCCTTGCAAAAAACGGCAGCATGATGCTAATCAAGCAGTGATAGGCAACAACCGCGCATACTTCAGGATTGATTCAAGAGGGCAACTTTTGGTTTTCGCAAAAAGAGAAGAATTCTCGTGGCAACAAAAAGAGCTAAATTCCTTTCAAACTCTTAAAAATGCCACAAAATGCGGGAACAACAAAAAATTGCTGGCTATTTAAAATCTTAATAAACTCGGTACCATCCCAGATCACAGGTCAGGTCCACAGATTAATTTCAAGAAAGTGCAAATAGATCATAATACAGAAATTATTTGCAAGCCGAAACCGCTAGAAACTGGATCTGTCCATTTTAATAAGGTGCCAGCAACTTTTGGTTGATCCCACATTTTGTGGCATTTTTAAGAGTTTGAAAGGAATTTAGCTCTTTTTGTTGCCACGAGAATTCTTCTCTTTTTGCGAAAACCAAAAGCCCTTTTTTGAAAAGACTCTTTTTAGCCTTAGAGAGAATTTAGCCCTTTTTGCCTCAACCTTATTGTTAAGATCGTAAAATAAGCCAAGGAATACTTATTCAGATGAACCCTTGTACGCAAAACTTCAAAAAAATTTGCCTGCGGCGCTTTGTAACGGCACTAGAAACCATAAGGTTGCACGGGGGCCAATCGGCAAAAACCGTGTTTTGGGTGGGGTTCGAACTCGGGAGCCAAGTCTTCCCAGTACAGCGTGCTAACCACTAGGCCAACGGGGAGACTGGAGGCCTGTCTTGGTGAAGCTAGACCCGCCCGCCCTGCTCGGGACTGGGCCGCCAAAGGGGAGGGTGGCGCCCCGTATGGCGAAGGTTTAATGTAATAATATCTCAGAGAAGAAGCATTCTTTCGATGCAATTTCTTCTTTACTTTTTCCGGCAAGGTCTAATGCCTATTTGAGCAAAATTTCAGCCCAAACGGACAACACTATCCCTTGTTTTGGCCGCAATTTGGCTTTTAAACTTAAAAATTAAATAAAAAATTTTTAAAAGCCTATTTTGAAAAAAAACTCTTCTTGCGGTCCGAAATTATCATTCACCCAATAACTGTGCAAAATTTCAGCCCAAACGGATGGTGGGAAGGCACTTTTTGACGACTACAAAGGTTTTGTGGCATACATACATACAAACGCAGACCCCCCCCCCTCGAAACGCAATTTAAATCGGCCGTTAAAATTCGAAATTTCACTTTTCTTCAAATTTTAAAAGCTTATAGTATGCAAAAAGTGTCGCCGGTTCCGATGGTGTATTCAGTTTGGCGATCCGATGCATCGTTCTTTTTTAAAACCGGAAAAGGACCCCAAAAGAGTCGTATGGGGGGGTACCTCAAACCAAAAGGGGTTAGCGGGCTACGCCCGCTAACCCCGAATTACAGCGCTGCCCACGTTAATGAACGCCTAAAACCCGAAAATCTCCGAAAAGCCGCGCAGAAATGAGGTGGCGTTGAGGGAAAGTGAAAAAAAATTCCGCCTCATTGCGTGATCCCGCTGTGCGGGCAGAGGTATCGATAAGGGCTGACTGGAAGACAAGAGTCGAGCCCGATCCGCATAGTAACAGGCAGTATATGCACGCGCGCGGAACTGGCTCCTAAAAATGCCATTCGGCGGCTACTATGGGAAAACAAGGGCGAGGATATGATGGTGTTCCATGAGGAAGCGCTATCGTTGCTGGCAAGCGATGACTAAAAAGACGCTCTAGAAAAAGCGAAGCTTCTCGTTTATCGGGGGGGAGGGTCATAAGTTATAATTAGATGTCAAGCTAACTGACGTCGTAGTAGCAATTGTAGTAGTAGTAAGTAGAAGTAGTAAGAAGCCTTTTGAATTGAACAGAAAACCTTATTTGAATAGGAAATTAAAATCCGGAACCCCTAAACTATTTGCAAATCACAATGGAATAAAAACCCGATCGTCCCGACGTTAAAACACTCGCCTGCTGCAGCACTACGATGGCGGGAGATGCCCGCGCCGAGCGCAAGGACAAAGTGAGTCATTCTTCATTTCCTCACACTTCATGGTCATTTCCAGATCAAAAAATGGCTGCAGACGGTGATCGACCGGCTGACGAAGGACTGGAAGCCGGTGCTGTGCCAGTCGCTGTTCACCGAGACCGAGCTGATCGAGCTGTGCTACCGAGCCCGGGAGACGTTCTGGTCCCAGAAATGTCTGATCGAGGTTGGCACCTGATTTTATAAACTGTTAGACCTGACCACCAAATATTGAACTTCCTGGTGACCGCGGAACCCGCCAACGCGGAAGCGCCGATGGGCTCAAATTTAGGTGAATGCCCCGGTGAACATTTGCGGCGACGTGCACGGCCAGTTCGAAGACCTGCTCGCGTTGTTCGCGCTCAACGGCTTCCCGCCCGACAAGCACTACCTCTTCCTTGGCGACTACGTCGATCGGGGCCCGTACTCGTTGGAGGTGATGGTGCTGCTCTTTGCCTACAAGGTTTGTGAGAGACTCGGTTTCTGGGCGCCTTTCAAGCTCTTTATTTTCAGCTAAAGGCTTTACATCCTAAAAAAGGCTGGCTCTCAATCGTTAGAGAAATTATCTTGGAAAACCTGATCCTACTATATATAAAAAAATAGTGTCTGTGTGTGTGTGTATATTTGCATGCACTTCCGTTTGGATGTTCCGCACCTACAGCCTCAGGGAAGCATTTTTTCGGTAAGGAGGAAACGTCATGGGGTAAAGAAGGGTCCGGAATCGACTGCACACACATAAAAGTTTTGAAAAATTGCTATTTTCGATATTAAAATTAGGTTTCTGTAAAGTTTTCGGCCAATCTCTTTGTTAGGAAGCAATTAGCATACGGCGGAAGTGGAAATGGTTTATTAAAAGGAAGATAGGGCGCCCTTTTCATTTTTGGTGAGCGGTTCTCGGCAAGAATTATGCAAAATCAATAACTTCATCGATCCTAGACGGGGCCAGGGTTGAAAAGCCGCGAAGCGGTTTTTCAACCCTGGTTTTTGTTTAAAAGTGTAATTCGGGCTTGTTTTGGCATATTATAATACTTTTTACCGTTATCTTCCTGCTTCCAGGTACTCTACCCGAAAGAGGTGACGCTCCTGCGCGGAAATCACGAGTCACGCCCGGTGAATATGCAGTACGGCTTCTACCTTGAAGTCAAAAAGAGGTGACGCCTCACTTGCCAAAATAAGGTACCATTCTTTCAGATACTCGGTGAACCTCTACGAGTGCTTCCAGTACGCCTTCTACTGCATGCCCTTCTGCGCGCTCGTCGACAAGCGCATCCTTTGCATGCATGGCGGCATCTCCGAAGAGCTCCAGGATTTTAATCAGGTAATCCAATCATCATTAGTCAAGAAAGTCTAAACGAAACCTCACCATTTTGGAATTTTTGACCTTTTGTGGTCCTTCCATACATTTTTTCTTATAAAAATGTCGACGCATCGAGTATTTTTAACGCTTGTATATCTAAAAAACCGGGTAGGGTTTATAATAAATGGTCAAAACTTCGTTTTAGAGGGCCGTACGGTATGATTAGAGAAAAAAATCGGTTCCCCGGCTAAACCGGAAGCGCGTTCATGGTTTCTACGCCCTGAAAACGAACGATCAAACCTCAACTTCAGCTGGAAAAGATCGAGCGGCCATGCGATATCCCGGATCTGGGCATCATTGCCGACCTGACATGGGCCGATCCGGAGCCGACGATCCAGGGCTACGAAGAGTCGCCCCGCGGCGCTGCTCGCATCTTTGGCGCGCAGGCCTTGAAGACGTTCTGCCAGACGCACGGCATCGACCTCGTCGTTCGCGCGCACCAGGTGAGTGAAACGCGCTGACGAATTCAACGTAATCCGCCTCTTCTAGGTCGTCCAGGATGGGTACGAATTCTTTGCTGACCGGCATCTCGTCACCATCTTCTCCGCTCCATATTATTGTGGCCAGTTCGACAACGCCGCCTGCGTGCTCAGCGTCTCCAAAGACTTGGTGCTGCTGCTCTTTAGTACCCTCAATACGCGAACTAACTTTCAGGAGATCGCCTTCTCGATCCATCGCCCCAACCCGAAGGGAGCTGCGAAGGGCTGAAACCGATGCAAAGAAACGGCGCCGATTAACGATAATTTCGATCGAATACCAATTTACAACCATGCCCGAATAAATGTTTTTTTTCGCTCGTCGTTGTTTATGCTGCTCGAATGTGGAGACAAAACGCTTTGCAGAATGAAATGCCTCAGTGCAGGATAGGAACAAAGACTTTTATTTTGCGCATCAATTATTAGAAATCTTCAAGCGAGTTCGCCGTTAATGACATCGTCACACGTTCCCAACGAGCGCCACTATGCCCATTTATACCGTGACGGCGAACCATCAACAACACATCTGAAATTAATTCGGAAACAAAAGCCGGTTGGGCGGTTCTACAGTTTTAAACGGTATTTTCCGGCTTCCTTGAGAATCCCTCGTTATGCTCGAAAGCTCGAGCGCTTCAATTTTACAAGTTGCCGGTAGCCTATATAATGGGAGAGCGGGAGCGCTTTTCATTTTTTGACATAAGAATTTAGGGAAATTCTACAGATTGAAGAATATCATGGGGCTAAACGGGCTAGCGTTGAAAAGTCGCGAAGCGAAGGGTTTATGCCTGCATCCATGTCCCCCCCCCACGCGCTAATCGGGAAATAGCGAAATATGTAACTCTTGTATAAGCCAAATGAGTAATGAATATTTTTAAACGGTTGTTCCCGTGTTTATTATCGGGAATTACAGGGTGGCCAGAAAAAAAAGTGCCTGGTTTGCCCTGAAATATCTCGCTAGGGGAAACGAATCGGACCATCGTTACCTTGCCAGAATGCTTAAATATGCTGGGTATGAAGAATAAACACAAGCTGTTTTTTATGATTTTTGACTCGTTAAGAATTTTTGAACATTTTTGAAAAAATAGAAAACTTTGAAGCGATAAAGTATGCAACTTTTGAAGAGCTATAGTAAAGTGTAGGGTATCAAAATGAAGCTCTGGATGCGCTATCTATTCAGTGGTGAAGAATATCGATCCGTTTAACTAGCCGTGAATAGGAGCGTTCGGAAAATCGGGACTTTTCTAGAAGGGGCGATTCCCCGTTGACCAGCAAAAAGTCCATTGTTGCCATAACATTTTGTACTTGTTACATGTAATCCTGGTTGTCCAGCTAACCATGTTATAACTTGAACTATAGGAGCGTAGAAATTACAAATTCCGTCGAATTGGCAAAGTGCCAACAAATTTTTTGATCGGGATTTTGAAAATCTTGATGCCAAAAGTTAGCAGATATCTATTTATTGTTAACTGCAAAATATCAGAAATATCGGATGGTAAAGAAATCTGATCTGGAATTATTCCTTCAAAAAGTGCCGATTTTCCGAATTCTCCTATTGACGGCTAGTTAAACCGATCGATAATCTATACCACTGATTTGATAGCGCATTCCAAGAGCTTCATTTTGATACTTTACATGTCCCCCTAACTCATCAAAAGTTCCATGATTTTCCGCTTCCAAGTTTTCTATTTTTTCAAAATTGTTCAAAATTTTTTAACGGTCGTCAAAAATCGCAAAAATCAACTTGTGTTAAATCTTCATATGGAGCATATTTAAGCATTCTGGCAAGGTAACGATGGTCCGATTCGTTTCCCCTAGCGAGATATTTGAGTGCAAACCAGTATAAGATTTTGGTGATAAAACTTTTAGAAATCGAATGGTTTGGGCTCGGATCCTCGGGAAAACTAAAATACTGACCTCTGTTTGGAGTTGAGCACTGGAAGAACATCGTGTCCATTTCGGGGCCAAAGTCCTACACAAAAGATGGTTGGTTAATATTTAGAAGAAGTCGAAGAAGACCGCTGGCGGCCCTTTCCGCTGGACCCGTCTGGGAACCACGCATTTAAGCCATTCCTTTCACCAAGCCTGCGACACGGGAGCGCGAGGAAGGGAACGAATTTTTGGCCTGCGGCTCTAGTCACTAACAATCGGCTTTGACATAACGCGCAGAAAGAGTAGAATACGTAGTTTGACGAAAGCACCAAAAGCAAAAAAAGTTCGGTTTCTGTATAAAAAATCGGCTGTACACAAACGAAGCAAACGTTACACACAAACATTTTCAGGATATTAATTCATTTTTCACCCCTGACCCCCAGGGTGGGCACAAAAAAGATCCGAGTTTGGGTCAAAATATCTCGCGAATGGAAACGAATCGGAGCATCGTTACCTTGCCAGAATGCTGAAATATGCTGGGCATAAATATATATATATATATAAACACGTTGTTTTTTAAGATTTTTGACTCGTTAAAAAGTTTTGAACATTTTTGAAAAAGTAAAAAACGAAAGATAATAAAACTTTTAATGAGTTAGGGGGACAGGGTATCAAAATGAAGCTCTCAGAATGCGCTATCAAACCCATGTTAAAGAATATCTATCGCTTTAACTAGCGTCAATAGGAGCGTTCGGAACATCCGGGCTTTTTGGAGAAATAATTCCAGAAAAAATTTATTTACCACCGGATTTGTCTGAAGTTTTGCAGTTGGCAATAAATAGATAACTACTAACTTTTGGCCTCAGGATTTCCAAAATCCCGATTAAAATTTTTTTGGCACTCTGCCAAGTCGGCAGAAACTGCAAGTTTTGCCTTAATACGGTCAAAATTGTAGCATGATTATCTTTGGCAAACAGCATTACATTGAATAAATACAAAAAGTTACGAGAACAAGGTGCTTTCGATGGTCAACGCGGAATCGCCCTTTCTCGAAAAATCGGGATTTTTCGAACGTTCCTATTGACGGCTCGCTAAACCGATCTATATTCATTACCATTTGGTTTGATAGCGCATTCTGAGAGCTTCATTTTGATACCCTTCATTTCCCCCTAACTCATTACAAGTTCCATGATTTTCCTCCTCGAAGTTTTCTACTTTTTCAAAGCTGTTCAAAAATTTTGAACGAGTTTCAATCCCGACGATTTCATCACTGACCTTTGCGACCTCCTTCCGGAAGAGGGATTGAATGCGTAGGGCAGCGGTTGAATCGTTTCTGACGACTTTCCACGCCTGGATCGCCGCCGCCAGAATCTGCAATTTGATACGATTCTTGCATGTTCCTATAGAATGTCTCTCATTTTGGCTTAGCTTTCCGCGGAAGTAAGTGTCTCCATTAGAAACGCATAGGAATGGGGGCAGCCCCCCGAAATCCGGCGGGCCCGAAAAAAACGTAAGGATCCCCCTTATGTTTTTTCATTTTGAAATTTTTTTGCCTGCGGCGCTGCTATTTTAGCAACACTTTTCGTCTGCGGCGCTCAAATTTCCACAAATTTTTCTTGGATTTTTCTTAAATGGCTGCCGACGGCATGTGTCGATCCCCCATCAATAAATTGGCAAATAGCCAACAGGGCAGAGAGCGCGCCCTGGGGAGAGGCGCAGAGACATTTTCTTTCCAGCACGTAACCGATTGACTATGCCGTCGGCATCCATTAAAATAAGCTGCGTATTTGCTTTGTGGCAGGCCGTCAGCCTGTCATGATTAGCAATCACATAACGTTACCTTATGTTGTGGTTGATCTTTAGGCCAGTCACAATATTGAGAGCTGACAGTACACATCTTTCCATCCGACAACCCGATTCGACTCTCCAGCATTTCCTGAACAGAATTTCATTATTTCACGACTTTTACTACATGAAAAAAGGGTGAGACTGGAGGGAACATGCAGAGACTAGCCTTAAGAACTGTATGGCGTTTGACAATCAACTGTACCTTGACAGCACGAGTCATATCACGATTTGTTTGTGCCTGCCAGATCAGTACTCGCTTTGCCCAGGGCTCAAAAAGCTTCTCTCGGCTGTCGCGGATGAGTTCATCCTGCTGGAAATGAGTAAATGATCAACTTTACACGGGTTATCATTGGCTGATAATGGGTTAACAGGGAACGGTCAAATAGGTGTGCCTGGAACCCAGGGATATGTGATCACATGGACGCACTCACGCACTCACGTGAGTGCCCATCTTGTAGAGCTCGACGAGCTGACAAGGAGACGCTTTTAGGTGCAAACGAAGTTTCGGGACGAAACCTAGCTCATTCGTAAGCGCTTGCAAAACTGGGCAACACGCTGCATTTTTGCTAAACGATCGCGACCAGGGTGCCTCAGAAAAAGGTCACACTGTTAAAAGAGCAGCTTGTATCGGAGCGGGCTGAAAATTTGCAAAGGCCTGCGCAAGGCAATTCAAAATGCTCATGGAGAAATCCAGATCCAGAATGCAGAAGTTTTTTTAAATATTGTAAGAAAAAAGAAAAGGTAAATTTTCGGCTCCGTACCGATAAGAGGGATTTTTGCCGCTATAAGGGATTACCGCCGATAAAGGGGAGTTAAGTTAAGCAGTTCAGCCTGGAAGCTAGTCAGCCATCAAAAAAGGTTTTTCGAGCCCTTAGTTAATAAAACTAACATTCTAAGCCAAGCCAAGGTTGGCCCCCCGTTAATTCACCCAAAAAATCTAGCGGACCAGTAAATAGTAGAGTACCTGATCAAGCAGATCCCACGACAGTGAGATGGCGAGGCCATCCGCCTAGAATTTGACAAATGAGGCATATTGGCAAGCATGATCGCATGATCATTTCATTATGTGCACATCCGCAAATTCCGAAATGAATATCGGTATTATGACGAATTGGCTTATGGCAACATTGCAAGCCGTAAACCCACGCGGCGAACGTTGAAAACGTCTGGACGACAGTTGATAAATTGGACAACTTTTGGAAAGGCATCCCAGCAATAGAAATCAACGGCGAACTCTCCGATCGCTCCAACAGCCCCCAACACTCCCGCCAGCTAAAAACAATTGCTATCAACGCTGAAAAGCAAGACATCAAGTGATACCGATGTGAAGAGATCGAGCCTGAGAAAGTGGTCACCAAAACACTCGCCTGTACATGAGATCTTTTTTCATATTTTATCCAGTCGTCTGGTGTGCGGAAACCAGCGGCCCTCCGCTGAAAAATCCCCAGTCAAAATTCCACCGCATAAAGGCCCGTAAAAAAAAGAAATAAAGGGACGTGGGCAACCCACAGC